TGAACCTTTGTCTTGTATACAAATGACCCCGCATGGAGGGGCTTACTGGCCTGCTCTTGGGAGGGAGGCAGGGAGAGAGTGGGAAAAGAAGATCAGTCATTTTTCTACTACTACTATTTCACTTTTCCCCCACGATCCACTAATGCAAGCCAAGCCTCCCTCTCTCCGCAAGCTCAGGGTCTAGGTCTCGTTATGCTCATTGGGTCTTTGATGGTGGGATGTCTCAAGAAACAAATTGCGAGCCACAAGCACGCGTCAGAGTCCAAGGAGAGGCCTCAAGCAAAATCTCCAGAATACGTATGTTCGTTTACAGATCAAGTACAAAATTGGAAGATGCTGTGAAATATTATGCTTTAAGAAATGTCAGAAGAGCAAATGCGCTTGCTCAATTTATTACAGTTTGCCAGAAGCCGTGGAAGCTATCCCGGCTCAGTGGGCTGACGATTCACGTGGCGCCTATTCTTGTTATTTGTGACTTAGAAGTTGTCCTTGCCGGCAAATCGCTCATTCTGGACAACCTCGACCCAGTAGCCATCAGGATCCAACAGAAATGCAACATTCTTCATGCGGCCGTCAGTCAGTCTCTTCTTCCAGTCGGCGTTGAGTGACTCGAATCGTTGGCACGCCGCGTCAATGTTGTCCACCGTGACACCTATACAACAAGATTGGTTAGTGATTCAAAAGGGAAATGGACTAAATAATCCTCAAAGATACAAAGAACAACAACAGCAACTTACAAATGTGACCGAATCCCTGCGGCTGGTCATTGCCATTGTGGTACTTGAAGCTCTCGTCCTTTTCCGTGCCATAGTTCCAGGTCAACTCCAAGAGGCCTTCCCGCTCGGCCGTGAAGCCGTCGGCGGGTATGCCCTTGTCGCCGGGGTAGCCCAAAAAGTAGAGGTTGAAGCCGGCTGCCTCTTGCTCCACCGTCCGGAAGAGCGACATGCCCAGCGTCTCCTGGTAAAACTTGAGACTCTTTTCTGCGTCCTTGACGCGGATCATGGTGTGGTTCTGTGCAATAAAGGGGTCAGTACCAGCTCAGTCATCAAGTGTCGATACCTTGGTCGCTTCTCTTCCCGGTGAGATTCCAAGTACAAGCGAGGATTCCTTACCATGCGATACTTGGACACATCTGTCTGGCTAGGGTCCTTGGGCTCATTGGGGTCGTCGGCGCCCTTGGTGCCCGCCTTGAGGCTGATAATCTCGACCCAGTAGCCATCGGGATCGAGAGCAAAAGCAATGTGCTTCATGCGCCCGTCGGTCAGCTTCTTTTGGAACTTGTAGCCAGCCTGCTCGAGGCGGTTGCACGCGGCCTGGATATTGTCGACGCTAATGCACACGTGGCCAAAGCCGCGGTGCGGCTCCTTGTTGCCATTGTTGATGGTGTAGGTCTCGTCGTCTTCGGTGCCATAGTTGTGCGTCAGCTCAATCAATCCCTCGCGGTCAAACACCGAGTTGCCGTGCGACGCTGCGCTCGGCGAGTCGTAGCCCAGAAAGTAGAGGTCGAACTTGGCTTCGGGGAACTGCAGCTGCTTGACCACGGACATGCCCAGGAACTCGTAGAACTTGACTACATCACAGCAAGACAGTCTTGATTAGCTAATCAAATCTTATAATGGCACCTTCTCTACTCGCGCGAGGACCTTGAGGGACGCTGGACCCTACGGAGTACCGCAGCTGCAAGGACCAAGGACATACCGGAAGCTTTGGGATCCTTCACCCGCAGCCTAAAAGACTATAAGCCAATGCAATCCGCCAACTAGTACAATTGGAGCATCTCGTACATTGAGTGGTTGAACTTGTAGTTCTTGGTATCTGTAGTTGTCGCCATGGTTGCAAGTCCTCGTGGTGCGTCTTTATGTTCAGTCAGTCCACCTGCTTCACTGGAGAGCAATTGAAAGCTCAACCTACTCAAGCTTTTGGGGGTTCTAGATAACAACTTTGCTTGAAGTTGTATTCGCTGCAGAGCTCTTAAAGCTGACATAAAGAATCTAGAAAGTGATTGCTGCTATACCACTGGGAAAAATAAAACTCGTTCCGAATGAATCTTTGCCCAGCTCAATGAAATAAACCGAACGAAACAATCTGCTACGAGCAATGACGTTTGAACCCACCAGCAGAAGCCCAGCAGAAGCTACCCCGCAAAATAATGAAGTAGTTGAATATACCCGGTAGATAGAATTAAGGTGGGCCTCAGACCTCGCCTATTTCGGAGGTATTCCGTGAGCACGTATTTCGAGTTTTATCATTCAATTATCACGAGGAACCATATAGTACAACAGTATTCAATAATTCAAATATCAAGTTTTATGGCTTAGGCATTTTTATTGATTTTATCTTAGGAAAGACAGCCATTTTCTGAAATTTCAAGCCCTTGCTTGTATTGCTGGCTTCATCTCCTGTTTTGCCAGACCCATTTTTACCCTATTCTTACATATAATGAAACAATGCGGACTTGGTCCTGTAGTGTTCCCCTCAGGGAAGTGATAGGAGTTTGTGCTTCTCTTTCTCAGAGCCACTCCTACAACGGTGTGTGCATAATGAAGACGAATCTTCGATTTGTGAAAGTGCCCTCGATTCAGAGGCAGGAGATACGGGTATTCTACCCCCCAGGGATTTCCTCTTTCTATTGACTTTATTTAAAAGCCCAGGGAGTTCTCGTCGAGAGCTCCGCTTGGTGTCACGAAGAAAGCCACAGCAATAATAATGTAAAGAGCCATCAACTGCGCAATAATCAGTATCATCCTATCGTGAGGTTTTCCGGGTATAATGCTTACCATGGCACCTTCGAGGTAGTTTGACTTGCCGTCTTGGACTGTGTAAGTAACAACGAGCACCGACAGGGCAAATGCTACCGTCTCGAAAGTCTCGAAGTGCAGATTCATCGGTCGGTCCATCATCCAGCCCAGAATGACCAGGAATGGAGTGACGAAAAGCGAAATCTGGATGCTGGAACCAATGGCAACACCCATGGCCTATTCACGAATTAGTCATTCCGTCTATTTCCAATTGTTTACGGGATCATCACGTACCAAATCCATCTTATTTTTGATAGCAACAACAACAGCCGTAACGTGCTCGGCGGCGTTTCCGACAATTGGGATCAGAATCAGACCAATAAAGTTTCTGCTCAATCCTGCGCGATCGACAAGCGCATCGATACTGTCGACGAGGTAATCGGCGCAAACGGAAACCAGGATTGTGGTGACAATCAAGACTCCTCCAGCGGCCCACGGGTTCATGTGTGCTTCTTCGTTCTCCTCTTCGTGGGCGGGTTCAGCAACTGGTCCGGGGAGTTGGTCGGCATCGGCCGTGGCGGCTTCGGCGCCGAAAAGGTTGTGATGGGTGCGCAGCTGGAACCAGAGGTACAGGATGTATAGAAGCAGTAGGAGCACGGCAGTTCCGCGAGACAGGCCGAGGATCGTCGAGTTTCGGAGCTCCTCGTCTGGCAAGGTCTGTTTGAGGACAATGGACAACTAACGGTTGATCAGTATTCGCTCAGTATCTGTAGACGTCTCACAGGTTCCTTACCGCGCCAGGGATAATCATAGACGCCGCAGCGAGTGTCAACAATGAGCAGGTCGTTTGAGCAGTAATGGACGCAAATGTCTGCTCTTGGCCGTTTCCTTCGCTGTCTCGCATATTGGCAATGCCACCAAAAACAAAGCACATGCCCATGACCAACAAACAGTTGGACAAGATGGAACCAATCATGGAGGATTTGACAACTTCGTACTGGCCATCGCGAAGTGCAATGATGCTAACCTATACATGCACACGGTAAGCATCGAGCCGGATCTCGAACCGGCGGCACAGAAAGTTTCACTTACAATCAACTCGACCGCATTTCCGAAAGTCGCATTGAGCAGACCTCCCAGAGCCTCGCCCAGCTTGGCCGAGATTTCCTCAGTTGCAAAAGACAGTACAGAAGCCAACGGGATGATTGCCAAGAAGTTGATAATAAAGACGGTAACCGGGTCCCATTCGGCCACTCCTGCAACAATACCAATAGGGACAAACACCAGGAGAACGTTCACATAGTCTACCAGGAGAATTAGAGTGAATCAAAGTCAAGCCATTGGAAACCCGGGCTGTGCACTTACTGCTCAGCAACGTAGCCTTGGTAATGTGCCAGGTATTGGCCAGAACCTTGACGGCGACATTGGAGCTCTCCTGACCCGGCGTGTGGTGGGTGTCAAAGAAGAACTGCCAGGTCTCGCTGTGTCCGTGACCCTGGGTACCATTGGTGGCTCCGTTGCCTAGGAGAGGGCTGGTCTCGGAAGTTCCTCCATTTTGGTTGTGCTTGCTGCCTCCAACACTAAATGTGCGGCGCACCTGTTCGTGGAAACTCGGTCCTACTTCGTCGCGAGTCATCGCGTGTTGGTCAGCTACCATCCGTGCGCATTGGCAATGCCAGATTCTTGGTGTTTTCTAGGTCGTCGTCGGTCCCAGCAAGTTCTCGTTTATGGGCGACCGTCCATGGGGAGACGTATGGAAGATTATGCGAGAAGAACAGGTTGGGTCCTTTGGCTGGTCGAGATCTCGGGGTAGATAAAAAGCCGTATGTACAGCAAAGAAGCAATGATTGGATGGGGATTGGGTGTAGGTGCGTCAGGCTGAGTAATAAAAGGTACACTGCACCTCACCCAGGATACCCAATGCGGTCGATACAGTACACACTGTCGTAGATAGGAAGTGGCTGGGTGTTTTCCGGCGTGTGGTTTGGGATGAGGAACAAAGACAAAGATGGCCGATGGGGTATGTGTTTCTTGGAGAAGAGGAATTGGACGGATTGGGGTGTTTGAAAGGAAGGAGGAGAAGGAAGGGCATTTAGGTACTCACACACCATGGTCACGACAGACTGACTCTAAATGATCGCGACGCAGAGAGATGAATTACTTCCGGACGATGCGGACAGATGAGTGGCTGAAGCACTCTGGGACGGGGAAATACCAAGACTTTTCCAAGACACGCTGCGGACGAGTTTAGCTGCAAGTTGAGCAGGCGATGAGAAATGGGCAGGCAATGGAAGAAAAGATAGGCGCAGGTAGGTAAGGATAAGGTAGATTAGACAGAACGTTGGGATCTACCGAGAACCCCTACCACAATCATGGCAGTACGTAGGTACAGGACTCTGTACACACACACACTCACGTTTCCGGGAAATGGAGCAGCCAAAGCAGCCCAATACCTAATAGTAGAATGTGTGTGGGGAAAATACCTACGTCGATTGGGAAATGTCAATTGGATGATGTGACGAGACGACACATCAATTGGGCGGCGGTACGTAGTGTGTGTGGAAGCAATAGAGTTTTCGTCTTCCCTGCTGGCTGTGAAATCCGAGGCGGCCGTGGTTGAATGATGATGGGCAGTGTTCTCTTTTGGTCGCAGTGCCAATATCGTTCGGTCTGCTTGGCAGAGGGCTTCTGTTGTTTAATCACTAACTCCTCAACGTCATGTGCAATAGATCTAGAGAAGATGGAAGAGAGAGAGAAAAGCTTCTACCCACACGACTCGACTCGGGTGAGTTCAGGTAATTACTACTGTATCCCAAACCTTCGTCTCGTCCCCAAACACGATGAGATCAAGAACAGCGGACCGACAACGACGTCAGCTAGCTCTAGCACCTCGCTATTCGCTGTGACGTTCTCAAATTAGTCTCCCCAGTGGCTCGCCCCAAGAGGCTCCCCTGCAGCTCGTTTTAGCTCCGGATCTCCACCAAAAGCTCGCTCCGGCGTTAAGGAGCCAGCAAGGGAACTGGGTCCGCTAGCAAGCGACAGCTCGGTGATAGGGTGTTTGAGATCCCTGGGACAACCACCTGCAGTTTGGAACCCCACTGGTTTCGGCCAGTCTATGACAGCAGAACCTTCTTCTTCACGCTTTGGGTACAGCCCCCAAACCAGCTCAGCGTCCGTTTCCACCTTTGACCAGCTACCAAATGTCTACCCTAGATGTCATTCCAAATCATAACTCTCTAGACATTCCACAATTGATACCTCAATGGTGATATTATAACAACAATCAATGGTTCGAAATGCTGTTCATTTCTGATAGAATGCTTCAACGTCTGCCAAGTGTGGCTAAGCAAAGATGCAACCAAAAGTTTCAGATTATTTTGGGAGGCCTCCCAATGCCCAGGTGTTTTTGTTCAACTTCAATGTGATGAGGGAGGGGCGCCAATCCTCTCTGCAGCTTGCCAACCACGGCTTGCAGCTACGTACTAGTGAAAGCACAGGGGTATTCAATGTGCTGTCGCTATCGATAAAGCTCCCTGGTCTTACATAGCACAGGGTCCAAAGGAATGAGCACGCGTGTCTTGGCGGAGCTGTCGGTAAATCAAATGTGCTGGCTCAGCGTTCGCCCGACTACTATTGTGTTTCAGTGGTCGAGCGAGTCGCGTTACACGGCGTCGTCGCGGCCCCGAGCCAGTCTCTCTACCAGGAAAAAGAAGAAGAGTCCTTGGCGCAACGGTCGCTTTCCACATGAGTGCGACACACCAAGACCCGTTGGCCAATCTTACACGATTCCGAACTCTATAATATTGCTTTGCCCGACTTGTTTGACGAATTATTAAACAAGCCAAAGAGGTTTGGGTCCGGCTAGTTGCTGACTATTGCTGTTTGCACTGCCTCAACATGATTGAATAGTCGATGCAAACCAAGAAACTATATCTTGTCCATGCAATATCCATGTGAACAATTGACATTCCCCACGTGAATTGATGACATTTTATATACGCCACAGACCAAGATCTTGGCACTTGGTTTTCCATCATGACATGTCACTGCTCATACCAGGAAGGCATGTGCAACTCGAGGCTGATACACAGTAGATACTGCTGTGGCCACTCGGATACACAATTCGAATCCACATATTATAGTGGCGCACGCAAATCGATTTGCCAAGCTTTTTAAGCAGATCCAGCCTTGATGTCGATCATCAGCAAGCCTGCCTAGGTACGCACGCAGCTTGCATCGACCAGCAAGGTTATTACAGTCATAGACGGTATAGCCATCTTGTGGATCCGAGACAGCAGGGCTTGAGACGTCAGCTGACTTCAGCTTATTCATGGATGCCTATTCTTCTCTCTGGCCATCAAATTGTTACTATAATCATACAGAACTGGATCAAGTAACTCCATGAGAATAAATTTTCCAATCATGTTCCCTCATGGTTCGTTCTCGTATGAGTAGATGAGTGTAGAGATCATAAATATAGCTTGCCTCATAGCAGTCTGGCTTGGTTCAAAGAACATGGCTGGGCAACAGTGAGCTTCAGATTTTGAGATATGTATATATTTCGTATATCAGTCGCATTTGCATCAAGATAGACTGATACTAGGATCAATGCTCCCGAAACAAGAGCTACGCATTGAGAAATAATTCCTTCTCACTACATTGGTGATCCCCTTTTCACCTTCTATCGGTGTGTGACATACTTGTTCATCGTTGAACTGGCCGTCAACGATAATATGACCTAACTAGCACTGAAGCGTAGTTCCTGGACCTTTTCGCCGGTCATCCTTTAGGCGAAGATAATACACGTATATCTACTGCACTTTTCCTCTCGAGTCAACCGGCCAGATTTCCTCAATGACTCCCTTTCGATGCGCATAGTAAAAGTCATGCAGATTGATGGTTGGATCGATATGGCTGGGGATCATCTCCACAACGTCGCCAACCTCGAGCGCCGGGGTGCCATCATTCTCCCAAGTCAGCGAGCCGTGCTCATCGCCCAGGACGCCATATACGTAGCGCGCGTCTTTGCACTCGGCCAATCCGCTGTCCGTGGTCAGCGACTTGAGGCCGGTATCAATGGTGACGGCCCGTGGGCCTTGGCGGCTGAGCACCGTGGACAAGATGGTCAAGCTGTTGGAGTAAAAGGGACCGACTGCGTTGCGGTAGTCAGTGTCCATGAAGATAAAGGATCCGGGCTGGACCTCGTTGACACCCGGTACCGTGACGCAGAACTCGGCCGTTCCTGTCCCGCCCGTCGTGACCACGCCCATGTCGAAGCCGTCCTGCCGCAGCGCCTCGGCCGTGCTCGTCAGCGTACGCATCGATTCTAAACACTGCTGTTCGCGGTCGGCGCGGTCGTGCAAGTGCTGTAGATGGCCCTCGTAACCCTGAATACCAATGATTTTGAGGTGCTTCAATGTCCTGACATGCCGCGCCAGAGCCAAGGCAGGCTCACCCGCTGCCACGCCTGTCCGATGCAGGCCAACGTCTAGATCTATCAAAACATTGATCGGCTGCTCGATGCCCGAAGTTGCAAGCGCTTCATTGATGGCGCTGGCGCCGAGTGCGCTGTCCACCACAATGCGGATCTGGCGATGTTTGCGGTACAGCTCAACAAGTCTCTTGACTTTGGCGGCACCAATGATCTCGCAGGTGATGAGCAAGTCATCAAAGCCGGCTTCTGCAATGACCTCGGCCTCGCTCAACTTTGCCACGCAGCCGCCTTTGCACCCAGCAGCGGCAAGCTTCTTGGCCAGAATGGCGCTCTTGGTGGTCTTGAGGTGAGGTCGTATCGAGACACCAGTCGGTAGCAGTTTGTCTGTGAGCTTTTTTATGTTGGCCTCCATGAGGTCGAGATCGACGACCATGGAGGGCGTGTCCAGACTCTGGACGCTGTCACCAACTTTAGGGGCATACATCTTGAAGGCGTAGCAAAAGGGAGGGGTCTGTCCTGAGCGAGTCAATGATTACCAAGTCTTGGGACAGGTTGCTTTGACAAGAGATGTCTAACGGTTGTCAAAGTCTAGACAGTCTAGTAACGTAGTGTGCCTAGTCAACTCAAGCTTGTAAGGACAAGTGACCAGGGAAAGAAGTCATTGGTTGTTCTTCACTTTTCAATACTTCAGGTGCCGACTTCCATTTTCACATAACAAGCTGCCGAAACCAAAGTTCCTATATGGGCGGGATTTGATTGGTGTATTGTCACATCTGTTTGTAATAGGCAATTAGCACCCCGCATTAGATTAGATAGGAGCCAGGGACGAGGTCCGACTATAGATCGGCTCGACCTTGGGGAAGGTAAGATGTGGGGGCTTCGAGCTTGCAACGTTGATTTATTTATTAATACGAAGAAAACGGCCGCTACATGTCGAAAATGAACCGGTCAATCATAGAAATAACATGTATGTCGAATTGTACCTGGGATGTTAAAATTATAGAATCTTGGCCTATTTTGGTACAGCTTTGGGGCTGCAAACACTGAGAGCTGGACCCAAGTCGCGGAGGGGTAGCTCGACTTGGATGCTCTCTTCTCTATACTGTCCGAGGCTATCATGATAATTGCTCATCTACAATACTCCGGGGCACTTGATCTAGCCATTGATAATTTGTACCTCGTAGGAGTCAAAACTTCACGGCTTCACAGCGAATTTCGCAGATTTGATTGCGCCCTCCGCGATCGGGGTAGCAGGGCCGCTGATCTCCCACCTTAGTTTGCCTTGGCATCATCCTATCTGAACGGTTTATACTCCGAGCGCTGCAAGATCATCATTGCAGATGAACAAACATGCCTCCATCCACCAGCACTTGAGAACCAGTCATATAACCACTCAACTCCTCACTGGCGAGAAAAACTGCCGGGCCGGCCAGGTCCTCTGGTTTCCCTACGCGGCCCATTGGGATTCGGTGCTCTAAATACTTGCGTTTCGTGTCATTCCGCATATCGTCCTCGGCCAACTGTGTATGTATGGTGCCTGGCAGCAGAGCATTACACCTAATCTTGTTCTTGGCCAGCGCAATTGCCATGGACTGCATCATGGATAGAACCGCGGCCTTGGTTGGCGTATAGTGAACTTGCAAGCCCCCTCCGACCAGTGCACTAATGGACGAGACTCCGATGATGGAGCCGCCTCTCCCTTGTTGCACCAGTTGCCGTGCTGCTGCTTGGCAGGTGTAAAACGCCGCATTCACATTGACATTCATTGACTGATCAAAAAAGTCTTTCTCAATCCTACTCGCGGAAGACTTGTTAGTGGTGTCCTGATGAAGCGCCGAGAATAAACACTTGTTACACTTACTTCAAGAACTCACAAGCCTTGAAAATGCCGGCATTGGCCACAAATATGTCCAACCCACCCCATTTCTTGACAGCTTCAGCAACGAGATGTGTGCCAGTGGTGGGATCGGTAATGTCGCCAGGAATATCGATCAACCTGCCAGCCGGTACGTCTTTCGGCCCCTCGTGCTGGAGAGCTTCCGCCTCTTCATGTAGACGTTTTCTCAAAGACTCATCTCTGGAAAGGCCCAGATGATTTACGGCGACATTACATCCTTGACGCAAATACTCCAAGGTGATGGCTCGGCCTATTCCCGTTGTGCCACCAGTGACACAGGCTGTCTTGCCAGCTAGTATACGCCATGGAGGAGCCATTTGGTTCAGCGGGTGGTTGATTCAGTCCAGACTTGATAATGAAAACTCTTCATCAGCGAATGCCATGTCAGGGCAAAGAGGTATACTTGTATTTTGGTTGTTGGAGACGGTTATCGGCACCACGGGAATAAAGTGTAGTATAAGCAGAGCAATGATATTCCTGTGCGCCACTCAACCTCGAGCTACTCTGTACAGCTCTGAGAGCATTCGCGGGGTTGGATTGAGGGGCCCCAAGTCTCATGAGAAGTCTGGAAGCAGCACAAACTGCTGATCTGCATGAGGCCCTCGTCTCGAGGGGCCGAACTGACGCTAATGCGGTTGTTATCCACTTCTCTATATGAATCTTCTAAGTATGGTAGGTAGAACCGCCGGAAATAGAAATCGGTATATCATATCCTGCATGAGTAGGTATGTTATCAGCATACAAGAAATTGAGACTTTTGCTACCGAGGCAGAGTCTTCCGCAAATATTGATAGCAAAGAGGTTGGTATTTCTCCTTGCTTTGAATCTACAGATCCTCTCATTACAATCGATCACTGAGTCCAATTAGGTTAATATGTTTTAATCCTCATCCGGGGCGCATTCCAAGGGTTCTAGTCGCCATGGAGATGACGGAGATAATACAGAGTACATCACATACGGCGGACTGAATAGAATAACGTGATTACCTTTTTGTTTGAGCCATCAATTGGACAATCTCGGCTGGAGATATGGATGGGCCCCCAACTGGTGAACAGACGATACTTGTCATTGTGCTGGTCAGCTCAATACGAGGTCTCGTATAGAAGGTGGTTAAGTGCCTATAGTGTCGGATTCTCTTCTCAAAGCCTCGAATTATCCTTGACTAAAATTGAATAAACCAATCACAGTGACCTTTCCGCCATTGCCAGGTTTTACATGGCTCTCCATGTATCCATAAGGGTAGTTTCCCCATGCATCATCTTTCCCTTGACGCCGTGAACGATGGACCAAAGCCAATTGCTAGGATTCTCGCACCAGTGGTCAGAAGATATTGCGCCCGACATGTCTGAATTCGCCGTTCAAGTCGGGATATTGTGACTGAAGAGCCTCTGGTTACATAATGTAGCTTGGTCAGTTGGCACAAAGGCGGGCGTCTGACCGACAGGCCAGTCATAACAGCAGTTTGATGGATTCGATAACACGTTTGGATGTGAATCAAGGCCGGTCTGCTAGTGAGATCAGCCTGCTTATCCGAAGGATGTACGTAACTATTGACAGATAAAGGAACAGAGTCCGCGAGCATAACGTGGACATGAGAGCATCATATCTTTGTCTCAGTCAGAATCCATCATAATTCTTAGGCCGTAGAAGGCCGCGTTTGTCTCCAACTTGACTCTTGGGCCCTCTGTGGAATGGCTAGGCTTGTATATGGGGTATTGATTTCGGTATGAAGAGTGGAAGAATATCTTGTCTCTGGGTTTACTGCTACGCATAGCATTGTCAAGTTCTGGAGGCAGATGGCCAATGATCAAATCCTCTTTGACGTTGATGTAAGCGTTTTACAATCTGAACAGTTCCTTGCAGTATCACCGTAATTGTATGTGATAATGACCTCGAGAGAAGGTCATGTTGAGTTTCATTTATATAAGGATGTGATACTTGGGAAATTCCTAATGGGTGAATAGAAAGTACTGAGCAGAGTCTATATCTATGGGAGACCTATTTGAGCTCAACGCAAACATCAAAGGTCCAGGTACACAAATCATTTCGAGTTGTTGAGGAGGATGACTGTGGAAGCGCCTTGATGATGGGGCGAAGAAGTTACGCTCAAAGCTAATATTTAGAGTTTTTCTATTTCGGCGCTCTGAGAAGAGTCCATCTTCTTTTTGGTGGTTGATTCAATGTTGCCCATCGATATTGTCATGTACCTAAAAGCGCGGGTAAGATTGGGCTCGGCTCTGGCGGTACCTGTCCTTGTCTGGGGTTTTTCGTTGTTGTTCCTTTTTAGTGGTGTTCACCCACAGGTTCGGCACCTTGCAGGATCCCCTAATGTCAGATGTTTGGTCGACAGACAGGAGCAGGGGCTTCTTCGGGGGCTCTGCTCGAACCTAGTTCTCCCGCCCCAACCCACCCCCAAGCATTTTTGGCATGGAAGTTTAACGGGAAGCCAACCACAAAGAGGTGATCGGCCGCCCTAGAGCCGTTGGTGCATTCACTTTCCCACCTTCACCTGCATCGCACCCTTCCACTTCTCTACCTTGCCCATTCATTCATTGATTCACTCACTCAACTCACTTGCTAAACATCGCAACTTGATCTTGGAAGCCTTTTGCTAGGAGCTGCTCCCTAGATTGCGCGCTTTGCTTCACGTCGTGCTTCCTTTTCTTGTCAAATATCCTGACCAAATTTGCTCCTTTGTTGTGCGCTGCTGCTTGCCTCGTTGCACGGAACCATTGTCAGCATCATGGCCGCCGCCGCCGGGATCATAGATCCAACCAAGGTCGGCAAATACCCAGTCGTACTCAGCGATGCGCTACTGGGCAAAAAGTCCAGTGAAGTCTACACTGGCGTTAGATGTAAGTGATATCTGCGTCTTGCCCTTTGACGCCTTGATTGGAATGCAATATAACGGCCACTGACCTGAACTTGCGATAGATAACCACAGACCCGATCCGCCACCGGATTCTGCCAAATTGCGACAAAATGTCACCTTCAAGGGCAACTATGATCTACTATACGGAGACAAGGGCAACATTCATAAATACCGTGGCAATCGCACCAGCAACGAAAATCAATATGTCCTGATCTTTGACCCCAACAGAGAGGTCTTTGTGCTGCACAAGGTCGACTCGACATTCAACATGAACCTCATTCAGACCCCCGACAATAAGAACGCAGACAGCCTAAAGAAGCAACATCCCCATCTCCCCAACAGTAGTGCTGAGGCCTCAACTACTAAAGCCAAGGGCAAGACTGGTGCAGGTTCCAAGACAAAGCAACCAAAGACAGCGCCCCCCAAGCCGTCTAAACCGGCTGCCCCAGAGAAGCGCAAGAACGGCTCGGACGATGAGGAGGACAGCGATAACGACGATGTTCTAGAGATTGATTTCGGCGACACTGCGGCTCCTAACCGCGACTTCTCTCCCGCCTTCCCGCCCCGAAGGTTTAGCGAATTTGCCGCGCAGAATGAGGAGGAGGAAGACGATGCCGACGGCGAAGATGAGGACGAGGAAATGAGCGAGCAGGAACACTTCCCGCTCCCATCGCCAATTGTGCAGCAGACTACTGCGCCGGAAGTGGAGACTGTCCCGAACAACACGATATCGCTCACCTTTGATGATGATTCAGCCTCGGAAGAGGACGAGGAGCCAACGCCGGCACCAGCTCCTGTGCAGGAGCAGCAAGAACAAGATGACGATGACGATATGGAAGACGACTTGGAGGCTGCTCTTGAAGCTGAGTTGGCTGGAGCCGACTCGGAGAGCGATGTCAGTGAAGAAGACTAAATCATTGCAAATCAATGTTCCAGCAGGACGGCATTACAGGAGCAATGGCATATGAGCACAACATGGTGGGATACACCAAGATGATACCCCTTTCAGTTTCAGCTTTACCCTCTGAATTTATCGATTTTCATAAAGCAGCATCGTTTGGCTGGGTTCAATTTCGGGAGCCGTGCCTCTTGGGATACAAGGCACGCGCCAGCCTGGGTGAGGTGACGGGATGCCGCCCTTGCGCAGAAAAGACTAAATTTGTTTCATGCGTTATCGTTGAGGTTTTGATTTATTTGCTGTGCGGTCAGCAATGAGGCTTGTAGCGACAGCAAAAGTGCTCATTGTTTGGGTGTATACACACGTCCTTCACGTCTATCGTGGGAACCGGTGGGCTTGTTTATTACGCCCAGGAAAGCTAGCATTGCCAATCTGCTAGCTCAGGCAAACCTTTGGGTACTGGGAGGTCTTGGCGATACTGAGAAGTCACACTGGATAGAGACATCATTTCACACAATCTGACCTGTTTTGCAGAATATGTAGCAGTGTTACTTGGGTTGCTTAGCTAGGCCTTATGAATTCAATGTCTGACGATATGCTCGGCCACTCGACTGGTTCGGCGGAAGCTGAAGTATTGTTTGACTTCCATGACCGTGAAACCTAATACAAGATAAATGACCAAAGACATCACATGCATCACGAATGCAGCTGAAATGGACCTCATGCCTCCATAGTATAATTAGATCTACGTAAGCCACTCATCCGGGTATCGAAGTGGTAGTGACCCGGCCGACTCGGAAGTCAGTTCGGCGGGACTCGCCCGCCTAGCCGGGTTGCCTCTAAACCTTCTCTGGGATGGGAAAATGTAGGGGCCCCATCAGTGCATTTCGGCGCCCTGTGTCACGAAAATCGAAGCGGGGTGGGGGCTGACTGGGCTTGGCGTCACTGAAGATGGCGACCTCAGGGGGCTCCGCCCTCCACTAAAAACAGCGCTTTCAGGCTAGAACGTGCCTGTGTTCCGATCCACCAACGAAACAAACGTGCAGCAACTTTATGGGTTTCGCTGCCTGAGCTGAAATGGGGATCCGACTGCCTCGACTTTTGCATTCTCGTTCTCTTCACAACCAATACACCTAAACAGCCGTCGTACCGATTCCAAAATTTCCACGATTTACGCTCGAGTAGGAAAGATTTAGAGCAAACCTCAGCAGCATTTGCAGTTTCTTTTCGAGACCAGACAAAACGTGCCTGGTTGAACCACAACTCGATTCATATCACCCCCATCACCATGGTCGGCATGGACAGACAAGAGATCATTGCGACGAACAAGTCGCTGCGCTTGATCAAGAATGTACGCTTTGTCTCTTTTTTGCGCAAACTATACAAATGATATGCCATCTAACATGTCACTCAGGAACTGGAGCATCTGCTCGAAAAGGGCATCGTAGACGATGCAACCTTTGATTCCATCATGCGCACACTCCCATCCGAGACGTCGCTCTCCAGCGCTGCCACACCAGCAGCAACTCGCCAGACCTCGGTCGCCAGCCCGGCCCCGAGCCATAACCCCATCTCGCCGCCGGTCAACTCCATGGCCAACCTGGCTATTGGCTCGAACCCGGGTACATCGCCCGCGCCTCCGGCCTACCACACCACCGGTCCGCCGTCGCTCCCAGCCCGGAACGGACCTCCGCCGCCCCCGCCCAGCAAGCCCATCATTGCGCACGCCAAGGCCCTGTACAAGTATACGGCGGCTGACGACCGGGACCTGAGCTTTGAGCGCGAGGACAAGATTGCCGTCTTTGAGTACATGAACGACGACTGGTGGATGGGCAAGAACCAGCGCACGGGCGGCGAGGGTATCTTCCCCAAGAACTATGTCGAGATCGACCAGGCCGCCGAAAAGGCCGGCTTCTACGCACCCGCCCAGCCCACGTATGCCCCTCAGCAGGCCGGTGGATACCCGGCGCCGCCGCAGGGTCAGAATCCCTACAACTCTAGCGTGCCGCCCATGGCGGTCGCCGAGGGCAGCGGCGAGCAGCAGAACGCCCAGGGTGGCAAGGGAAGCGAGATGGGCAAGAAGTTTGGAAAGAAGCTCGGAAACGCTGCCATTTTTGGTGCTGGTGCCACATTGGGTGGAAACCTGGTCAACAGTATCTTCTAAGCAAAAAATGCTTACGAGGGTTCTTGTGCTTCTTCTGGTCATGAGGTTTTGAAAGGCTATTTGGGTGGCCACATGCGAACGTCGTATGAGGTCTCACCGGGGGGCTACCCGCGCGATGGGGAATTGCATGTTTTAATATCACGGTCAAAGGCATTTCTTGGGTTTCCTTTTCTAGTTCCGGTACGGGTCAAATTGTACATAGTTAATTGCATTGTTCCTCTTTGCTGAATCTGGATTTGTATGTCTGGATGTGACTGCCCTGATATACTATTCAAGGGATACTATCATGGTCTTCGATCTAAATACCAGGATAAATAAGATGTTGAGAAGCATTCTTAAAGCATTGCTAGCACAGAGGTGCGACAGCGTAAGGTGTTGTGATGCATATGCTTGAACAATTTTGCGTGTGTCGCTCCTGGTTTTACTAAACGGTCTCCCCATTTGCTCAAGCATTTGAGTTGGGAATGGAAAAGTTTGGTCCTGTGACTGTGACTGTGACCATGTTCAGTTACAGGAAATAGGCATAGAAAACCATACCTATTCGACAGAGATGTGCAAAGGCTAGTAGTTGTCGTTTATGTAGTCAAGCTGGGCATCCAACTTTGATTTGAGGCGGCTGATATCCAATAATACCGCCATTAGATGCGATACAGTCATGAACGACAATAGGTCCCAAGGGTTTGTTTCTAGAGTAGTCGCTTGATTGAGTACAAACAACCACCACCTTTTGTTTTTGCCAAAGTATTTGCAGTGGAAGAGGCTTTATTATGTCCTAATGGTGTCGATGAGATCGGGATGTTCTTTAGCTCTGATAATGATCGTTGTGTTCATTACTAATACAGCTCGATATAACATTTTGCTAAAGAAAGAAGAAAAAGAATTCTTTGAAGTAATTAGAGTTATTTTGCTATCTACCTAAAAAAAAAAGAAAAAAGAAAAAAAAGAAGAGAGAGAGAGGAAGAAAAAGGAGAAGGAAAGCGTAAAAAGTAATACATTTTGGAAATCTAATTCTCTCAATGCGGTGGCTTTATATTTACATTCTATATTCTGCATCGACAAGCTATTAAGTAATTGCTGCCACTCGGAACTTGGTCCGAACCACTTATCGTTACCATGTCATTGGGAATGATGTGGATATCAACATTTCGCGGTATCGTGTGATGATGTACAGCACGGCAAACCGAGGTTCGTGATACTCGTAATCATACGTTACTTGCTGAAACCCGGGTAAATTGTCAACTAATGAGCTCTTGGCACATCTGCGATTGGTCTGGACAAAGTACCCTTTCATAGACAAGCAGTGTACCGCAGTCTGGAACACGTCTTATCTGCACTCCAACCAAAACTGAATATCCCACCATTGAAAAGCACACGCAAGCTCAACATGGAGTCCTGGTCCGTGGCTAAACCACAAGCGGAAGTCTGATAAGGTATACTCCCCGCAATTCGGCATGGAGGGGGGAGACCAGACCGACCGTATCCGAAAGATAGGCAATACCAACCCGAGCAAGGCACAGCTATGTCTTGTGCTACTGACTGACTGTGCTATTGTAACATTGTTCAGTTGTCTATCTCGAGAGCCGGGACGATGCGACGGGCTGGGGGGGTGGTTGTTGGGGTCGGGGTCGGGCCGGGGGGGTAGGCGATCGTGTTAATTAATATGCTCGAATATGCCGACCAAGAACGCCGCAGTACTTGGCGGTTCTTGTCGTCGCTTGTCTTGTCGTTTCTATAGTTGCCGTCTTGACCATCATGAGAAACCCCTTCAAGTCGACATCGGCTGCGCCGCCGGCGGCCGAAATCACACAAACGATATCTGAAGACGATCGCAACGACAAAAAGGCGACCAAGGTTGCGCAAGATGTAGACGTATCAGCCGCCGCCGAGGATCTCAACAAGATTGCCCACGCCCATCAGTTTGACCCCAATCTCCCCCGGGAGAAGCTCGAGGCCCTCCAAAAGGCCCTTGACCATGGCGATGCCGACGAGATACTCGAGGCCGACGCGCTCTTTACCGACGACTCGCCGTACGCAGAGGTCCGCGCCGCCGTGCGCAACACGGACGGCGGCGAGGTTGCCAATACGGTCCGGGCGTGGGTCCTGGGCATGATCTTTGTCACCATCGGCAGCGGCATCAACATGTTTCTGTCCATGCGGAGCCCGGCCATCAGTTTCCCGTCTGTCGTGGTGCAGCTGCTGGTATACCCAATCGGTTGTCTCTGGGCAAAAGTCATGCCCACCCGCGTCTTTAACACGTTTGGCGCGCAGTGGACGCTCAACACGGGGCCCTTTACCATCAAGGAGCACGTTGTCATTACCCTGATGGCCAATGTTTCCATCGGGTATGCCTATAGCACCGACGCCCTGCTCGCACTGCAGGGAAAGCCGTTTTACAACATTAATCTCGGATGGGGCTTTGCCATCTTGTTCACGCTCAGCTCCCAGCTCATTGGTATCTCGTTTGCCGGCATGTTTAGACGGTTCTTGATTTGGCCGTCCGCCATGATGTGGCCGAGTATCTTTTCCAACACGGCGCTCTTTTATGCGCTCCACGACAAGAGCAAGCATGACAAGTCGGAGGCCAATGGCTGGCAGATCAGCAGATATCGGTACTTCTTCTATGTGCTGTGCGGCATGTTCATATACTACTGGATTCCCGGAGTGTTATGGCAAGGACTATCAGTATTTGCCTTTGTTACGTGGTGAGTACACGGCGCAACTGATTGTGAAGAAAATAGCTTTGGATACTGATATTCATACATAGGATTCGTCCGAATAATGTTGTGCTTAACCAGCTATTTGGCGGTTTCACTGGATTGAGTTTGATTCCCATTACGTTTGATGTAAGAGATTGGTAGACGATAAAGTGCCATCTTGGGAAAGAGGTCGAAGCTGACGTTTATCCTATAGTGGACATATGTGAACGCCTATCTTGGCGATCCGCTACTAGCTCCAGTCCATACTCACATCAACACTCTGATTGGACTCTTCGTCTTTGTGATTCTTACCAGTATCGGCATGACATATACTGGAGCCGTCTACGCCGACTACCTCCCCATGGTGACTTCGTCGACGTTTGACAACACCCAAAGCTCGTACAATGTCAGCAGGATTCTCAACAGCGATCACACATTCAACCTGGAGAAATATACCAGCTACTCTCCGCTGTTCCTCGCGCCTACTTTTGCGCTCAACTATGGACTTTCCTTTGCCGCCCTGACGGCTGTCCTCGTTCACACTGCTTTGTTCCACGGCAAGGAGATTTGGTACAGATTCAAGGCAGCTCGCAATCAGGAGCCAGATGTGCACCTGGAAATGATGAAGAAGTGTAAGTGTGTCTTTGGGGCGGTCCCGGCTTACCTAATCTCACAAGACATTGTATATGCCAACGACAATGTGAAAACAACAATTACTAACCTCATTTGCGCAGACCCAGAAGCGCCTGACTACTGGTATTTAATCTTATTCGTCATTACTACTGCCATGGGCTTGGCTTGTTGTCTGGCATACGACTCCCAGCTGCCCTGGTGGACCTATTTTGTCTCGATCATTCTGGCTTTGGTATTTGTCATTCCCACTTGCTCGGTCCTGGCCATTTCGAATATTGCATTGGCACTCAATGTCCTATCGCCCTTTTTGGCAGGGTTCATGATTCCAGGACGTCCCATAGGGGTAATGTATGTGATCCTCTCCTTGGTTGTCTCACGAGCAAATGTTTCCCGATATGATGCTTCAGAGAATGATTCCAGCCTCACTTATCCGTATGAAAAGGCAGGTGCTAACACATGTTATTGTAGGATGTTTAAAGGTACGCGGTTTAACCAAGTTGTGGCCAAAAGCTTTTTCTTTTCTTTCTTTTGTCTTTTTTCTTTGGGTGATTCAGAAGAAAGAACGAAAGAGAGAGAGAGAAAGGAGAAGAAAAGGTCTCGAAATCATTTGCTAACTTTTCTTATAGTTTACTCTACTATTGTCCTTGGACAGGCTCAGACGTACAGCTCTGATCTTAAAATGGCACACTACGTAAGTTTACATATTTGATTATAGCATGCCTTTAAGACGCTGACATGATTTGTATAGATGAAAATTCCGCCCAAGACCACTTTTTGGTGTCAGGTAATAGCAAGTATCTGGGCAGTCTTTGTGCAGATTGCTACCATGAACTGGACCCTGGGCAATATTCCTGATTGTTGCACAACGTGAGTTCTCCGTGGGAAATATTCATAAATGGCAACCAATGATTTATGTTGGAGTATCATGACTAACACAATATACCCCTCTCAGTACCCAGCCATCCAAGTTCAGCTGCCCCAACGGCAAGACCTTCTTTTCCTCGTCCATAGTCTGGGGCGTAATCGGACCTCATCGCATGTTCGGTCCGGGTTCCATCTACGCGCAGTTCAACTGGTTCTGGCTGATTGGTGCCTGTCTGCCGGTGATTCTGTGGTTTGCCATGCGAAAGCTGCGCCTCGGCTTTGTCCGCCACCTCAACGCGCCGATTATGCTGGGAGCCATGGGCTGGCTGCCCCCGGCCACGCCGCTCAGCTTCTCGACCTGGGCCCTCTTTGGCATCCTCTTCAACCACGTCCTCAAGAACCGATACCGGGGCTGGTGGCACAATTACAACTTTGTCACGGCGGCGGGCCTGGACGCTGGTCTCATCATCAGCACCATTGTCATCTTCTTTGCCATTACGCTACCTGGTGTCGATATTCCGCAATGGTGGGGTAACGTTGATGTCTTCAACACTCTTGTAAGTACTGAATTCACGATGACGTATGCTTTATGCCAGTGCGGTACTAATAAGTGTTGCTACGTAGGATGCTGGGTACAATGCTTGGCTCAAGACAGTACCCGATGGAGAAACATTTGGTCCCACGTCTTGGTAGAGTGACGATATCATGAAAAGGTTTGCAAGGATACTAGATACCGTGGCCAAAGTCAGAACACAGTTGCCAGGATAGCTTATCCCCGTTGCGCCTATCGGATGAGATGCCTCTTGGTATTAACTGTCTCTGAACAGAAACGACGACATCTTTGTCCAAGCGAGTTCAGAAGTATCCCAACTAGTATATGAATGCAGCCTGCGCTCGCAAAATAAACCATTTTACCGTAACCCGATCGAACGGGTTTGTACTCATGTTCTGCATTCGTAGTGATCAACAGTCAGCCTTCGTCTAAACCCTTGTCTCAGGTGTTTGTAATCCCAGCCCAGTGGCCACTAGAGGTTAGTGATTATGGTAATGACGATCCTGCGCGCAGCCGGCATTTAGGGCCTGCAGATCACAAGATTTTCTACTTGAATGCTTGAATGTGACTAATCCGCAGAGTTGCAGATCACGCGTGGGTTTTTTCTGGAAAACCTGGGGAAGTTCCACGAGTCTGTTGCTAATCAGCAGCAGAAAGTAGCAGGCACTTGGATGCGCCTTTATGTGCCTTTATGCTTGTCCAGTGAACAGTAGTCACCTCAATCGAGGAACCAAAAGTATGCCTGTCAAGTGACTGGCTCAGGTCCGGTGCGTATCCGCAGGGTAATACTTTCGTCTATACCCCGGTATTTGATTTCATGATTGACGCCACAAAAAGGCTTATACGCCAACATCCAGGGCCCTGGATACAACTCGGTGAGCTCGGTAAGCCAAAACCGGCAATATGAGGTCAGATCAGCCTGTCTCTAATTACTTGCAGCAGTACAAGTGCTGTTCTGAGAACGAATGCGAGGAGTCTCTGCCTACTGAAAAGTGCGGCTCTAATTGGATCGTTCACGCGAACAGCCCAAGCATGCAAGGCACTGGTATAAACTGCCGTGCCCAGATATATCAAATATTGACTGACGCGGGAGCGTTATCCTTGGCGCCAGCCTCGTACAAGAGAGCCAATGAAATCTGAATCCCCGTCTCGGATCCCTCGCCATTCCGCTGACGGTGATGATTATTGCGGCGTAGGGCTACCCGCGCTGACGGTGCAAAAAAGCTTCAGCTCGTGCCACTCTATCTGCTGGCGACTAAGGTTTCCCTACGAAAATTAGCTCCCCAAACAGTATTGTAAGCTGAGACACTCCATCACGCGAAAAGCGCCACCGTTTGTCTGTCCATTGCGTCTAGGGCCGAACTGGAATTCATCCTAGAAGCCTCTCATGATGCCTAGCTCAAGGCCGGAAACTGGGGATAGTGCCCGACACTCCCGTTTTGAGGACTCGGGGAGTTCTATAAGAACGCCAAGAGTTCGCTGGTCAAAATGTCAGTCCCATTATCAAGGTTCGATTAGTCCACACTTACTTGACCACCCCGCACTTCCAAGACTTCAATTCATTCTCAACTTGAGCTATATTCCTTCTCCTAGTCAATATGAAGACCTTTATCATTGCTGCTGCCTGCTTCTTGGGCTATTCCGCTGCCCAGGGAAGCATTGAGAAAGATGCCGAGTGGACAGTGAGCGGCCTTAGCGCCTCCTCGCTCCCGGGACCACAAGGATCTCTTACTACCCAGTAAGTTGATATGAGATCTTTTTATTTCCTGTTGTCTGTGATATATATATATATATAACGGCCGTCGAATCCACAATCACCGGCGGCCGCCAAATATAAACAGAGTGTGATCTTGGCCTTGGCGCAGTTACTAACAAGGAGACAGCTACTCCTTTACCGTCACAACCTCTACCCAGTCTGCTCAGTGCGACGCCACTTCCAACCAGACTGGTGCACCTCTCGGATCCCTTCCCGAGACGGCATGTGATCCAGACACCTTCTCCTTCTCCTGGACGCCCAAAGGAGACGCAGGCTCTGACGGTGCGACCCTGGAGATCTGGGACAGCGTCACTGAGCAGTTTGCTACTCACGATATCCCGGCTGATGAGATCCACCAGCAGCCCGAATTCGTTCTGGGCAGCCACCCTTATGTCTACAATGGGCCCAGCGATTTCATTGTCGAGACACAGTTGGACTAGGTGGAAGGACTGGATATAAGCAGAAGGTCTTTATTTCTGCCAAGCCTAGATCTATATACGAAGTGATGATAAACAAAGGCAGAAATTTCTTTGTATACTTCTGTTATTCTCCAATATTTCTTTCGAAAATTTTACTCTCAATTTACATTATCTCAAATTTGTTTCTAATGCTGCAAATTAATATTGATATCGCATTATTGACGAGTTAGCACAGAGTGAAACTAGGTACATTTATACCTAGATACCGGCGTGAGCTTCTTTAAGGCTGTCGAGTGAATGGGCCGTTTCATCCACTAGTCAGAAGTTTGAAACATCGGATCACAGGAAGAGACAAGGTAACATGGCTTATTTTTGAAATCTAAAGGATAACAGCAAACGATACCTGATAAATCACCACTAAAGAAGTGACGAGTAGGAATTCGAATAAATCAGCTTGGGCGTATCTGCGAATCATGGATTATAACTAGCCGAGCGCATCTCCGTAGCCCAACCGGGAACCTGACCTGCCTGGATGCGGAATGGATACTCGCCAAAAACGATAAGCGGGTATATAATATAGCAGCAATCAACGTGAGAACACCATTCATCTCTCGACTTTCTATATCACATGCTGAGCCAACATGTCATGTGGAATCGACTCTCTGATGGAAAATCCACTGCAAGTTCTTGTCCATTAATAAAATGCCAGTTCTTCTTTTTGATCCGCTCGCCAAAAAAGAAGTCTTGGCGCATGATTTTACTATGTACGCTTATTTGACAGCTCTCTGGCTTATACCCCTGTTCCTGACTAGATCTGCCACCGTTGCTGAGACTAAAGCCTGTCATATTAGAGCACGAACCAATGGGGGTGAGGACTGGTTTGGGTTCATTACTTTGCGACGAGGAGCTCTGGTCCTATCATTTTTTGTTTTTGGTTGCCAACACCATGGTTCTTGTTCTTTTTCTCCTATTTCCACCCATCGCTACTACCACGTTGCACTCGGAGGCAAGGAGAATTGATAAGTTGATGCACGAATGGAAGATATCAATGCAACCCTTTAGCTGCCGTCCCTCTTTTCTTTTTTGTCTTTTTTTCTTTGCTCCGTGTTGTACTATTGTACTTGTGTATGATGGTGAGCGGAGTCGTCGATCATACCGGAAAGGCATGAGCGTTGAGTGTTTGGGGCTTATTCATTCTCTGCCTGTCAGCAGACTGGACTCGCCGCCTGTACGCGTATGCCGACTTCGTATTCACATGGCATACATCATCGCTGAAGAGCAGGCCTATTTCACAAACAGTCAAGTCGTAAACAGAAACGTCCCAAAGAAGGCGACCGTCCCGTCCATGACACGAAGTCAAACAACGTCCCCCCCTAGTCAAGCGAAGAAGCCCAAATGTTTTATGATCCAATACTATGAATAGCCTCGGCCAAGGAGAAAAAGGAAACACGCCAGATGTTCCTCGCGGGATTCCATCAACCTTCTACGGCTTCTGCGGCTCTAGCCGAATATGCTCCTCTCCTCTCCTCTCCCTCCTTGCTCCCTTTCCTCCTTGTGAACAGACAGTGGCCGCCTCTTTCATACGGATGCAACCCACTCCCCCCCATTACCCATGTTGCCATGCCATGTTTGCTGCAAAGCAAGACCCCGGCTTTCCCTTCTTTCTTTTACCCACCCGCGTAACCAGTTGTGTGTTGTTCGGGCTGGGTCCCGATTAGCTGGGTCCCCATTTGTACGAATTACTAGTGGACAAGCGATACCACATTAGGGACCCAGTTAAATTTCTATCCCTCTTGCGCCAACTCATATTGGCTTGGTGCCTTTTTTTTTTTTCCTTTGTCCCTCACCCAAGACTGTCCGTATTGACCATCTCGTTTCTGGCGGCTACCCAGCTGAAAAGAGTTCACCTAGAGTAGAGGCTAGTGATTGCTTGTTTTCTGTTTATGGAATTTAGTAAAAAAAGTCTCGTCAATTTACAAATACTTCAACTTCTTTGTCTTTTTTTTGATGCTTGTTATTTTCCTGTAACATGTAGAGGGAAAACACCCTCTCAAACGTCCATGCTTTTATTTTTATTTTTCTATCATGTCCTGTCCCCGCGCCGAATATACATTATCCTGCAACCGAGTCCCATGATCCATCAAAGCAAAGACCCCCTGACTGACTCCGTAAACCACAACACAGTCCGCCCCTATTTCTTCTGAGACAAGGGCCCAAATTGAAGGACCCTCCCGTCCTTAGTTGTTAATAACGCCAAGCATCGTGAAGTTTGGGTCACTTTTTCGTATTTCCGATCAAAAGCAGCACATGAACCTCCAAGAAAAAAGTCTTGTCGGGTAATGCATCTTTACTGTTCTGGTTGCTGCAAGTCTTGAACACACAGTCAACCACAAAATTTGGTGGGAACGGGGATTATCACCAATCGGGACACGTTGATTTTCGGTCAACAAATTGAAGATCTCGGGGCAAGGCTTTCCTGCTCATACATACACTTACTTCTCTGTCGTCCAGTTCCCGCTTGGGGATTGTGATCGGCGACGGCCGTAGCCTCGACAGAACAGCTCGGATCCCCGCCGGCCACCTCAACCCTGCGTTTGACTGGTTCCCCGAGTGCCGTTGGGAATTTTTGTGGTCTTTTTTAGGCTTGTTTTTTTGTCTTTTCTTTCTTTCCTCCTCTCGAAAGTGGGAGCCTCGAGTGTGTCTCTTTCCGCATGGCGATAACTTTTCAATTTGGGGGGATTCTTTTTATGGAATCTATTGGGGCATATCCGGTTTTCTGGTGATTGCGAGGACTCGGGACTGGGCCTCTGCGTGGTCCGGTAGCGAATGAATGGTGGGCGGCATGGTCTCCATTCTCGGAATGAAGATTGGGGTGGAAAAGAAGAGGTGAGAAGGACTCTAATAATATTGGCTCTTACCGGAGCCTCCCTGTGCCCAAGTCTGGCTTTGCTGACTCGACGAGCATCCAAAAAATAAAGACCAGACCCATCCAACATGAGATCTGTTCCACAACCACCAAGCAATTTGGGCCGGGATGCGCTGGGCGCTGCTCATTTCAGTGGAGGCCAAGGAGATTCTCAACACCCAAGCAGTCATAGTGTGCGGCCAACACCACAATCTAGTGCTTCGCTGCCCGTTCACTCGACACCGAATACTCACGCGATACAAGCTTTTTATAACACCGCCAACCAATCGTCGGCTCCAAGCAGCATGCACGATCTCTCGAGACCAGGCCCTGGTAGAGGGCCAGGACAACCGCCGCAGCTCAAGTCGGTGAGGTCGACTCCAGATATACGCATGCGACGAATGGACTCTTTTCCAACCCTCATGTCGTCCTTGGACGCTGGCGCTCCTCCTCCGCCGCCCTCTAGTGGGCGGCAAAAGCCTCGGGTCAACCCTCTCGACGTCCACTTTGCCAGAGACCCGTCGGCCATGCCCATGCCTCTCACTCATTCACCACTGAGCCGGTCGCCGTTGGCGAGAGACGAAGGACCCATGATGATGATGACGACGCCGGGAACCAACGACATGCAATCCGTACCAAAGGCTTTGAATATAGTCAAAGCACCCCCGAGTCCGGCCATGACTCCAGCCATACCTCCTAGGAGTGCGCTTCGAAAGCCCCCTTCTCCGGCACCATCGGCCAGTATGGCAAGCAGCATGACGACATCTGTCGACGGCGACGGACTCTTTGTCAGGGATTTGGAGAAACCGATTATGCCAGCTGCTGCGGACAGCCGGCCTTCGAGTAGAGGTAGTAACCGAAACATACCTTCAACCCTGAGAGAGCTCATGGCTGTCGACGAGTTTCTGTGCGAGAGTCCAGTATCCGTCCCGACCCCACCACCATCTCTTCCTCGGGCGAGCAACGACAGCGGGACGCGGTCTTTGAGCGAACCCGAGGGACCAGTCGTACAGACTGTACGCGCCAAACGGGAGACCATGACTGTCAGTCCTGCCAAGAAGAGAAGTCTGGAAAAGATGATTGAGGCTTTTGACAAGTCGCTACGAGCAAATGGCGAGGGAATTCCGAGGTCGTCCAGCGAGCCGCGCGCAGAGCGACCGGCGCCGCTCAAGGTAAAAACCGTTTTGAACCACACAGCAACAGTGCAGGGCCCGAGCAGTGCACCAGTCGCACCAAGACAGCGCTCCGAGAGCCCCTTTGGTCGCACTCCCACGCCTCTCGGTCGGGCGCGGGCCGGCGTGCCCGCTGCCGCCGTTGGTGCTCAAGGTCGGCCCTCGCGGCCAGGAGTTCGTCGACCGACTATAAACGAATACGGTGTGGCTCCGATACGACCAGTCATCGAAATTCCAGAACGCGGATCTACTCCATCAAGCTTGAGATCGCCGCCCGACAGCCCGATATTACCAAGCCATGGACCGCTCTCGAGCATCTCGCCGCCCGACAGCCCAATATTGCCAACAGAGGGCCCTCTGTCTGCTAATTCGCCCCCAGACAGCCCAATTCTGCCGAGCTTTGGTCCCCTCTCGGCCGGATCGCCACCTGATAGTCCGATACTGCCGAGCCGTGGCCCGCTTTCGGCCGGATCGCCTCCCAGCAGTCCCATCTTGCCCAGCCACGGGCCTCTGTCGGCTGGCTCCTCACCCCCCGACAGCCCAATATTGCCAAGTCGAGGTCCTCTTTCAGCAGGGTCGCCTCCCGACAGTCCGATAATACCGGCAGAAGGCCCCTTGTCAAACCCGGCTTCACCACCCGACAGTCCCATCATGCCCCTTAGCGGGCCTTTGGCATACAATCAACCGGTGGCATCGAAAAAGGACGACCCACGTAGAGAGACGCTCGATAGAGGCTTCCAATTTCCGGCACGGCCAGCCTCTCCAGAAAAGCCCCAGCAGCAGGCAGATCTGGAAGAGAGCCTATTCTTACCACCCCCAATGAGCCACATGGCACCGCCTGGAGGAATGGAGTGGCCCCTCTTTGCCCCGTCGATACCGATGCCAGAGTCGCGGGCGGGATCCCCGGCCCTCATGATGCGCACGCAGTCGCCAGTTCTTCCGATAGCACGATCGCAGTCTCCAGCAGCACTGCCAATGCGGGCACAGTCACCGGCGTTTTCGGTCCGCGCCCAGTCGCCAGCACTACCGGCAGTTCGGTCACAGTCGCCCGCCGCCCTGCCGGTGCGAACTCAATCCCCAGCCACGCTGCCAGTGAGGACTCAGTCCCCAGCAGTAATGCCGGTAAGGACACAATCACCAGCAACACTACCAGTGAGGACTCAGTCCCCGGCAGTAATGCCGGTAAGGACACAATCTCCGGCAACACTGCCAATAAGGACACAATCACCAGCAGCACTGCCGGTACGATCTCAATCACCAGCAGCACTGCCGGTGCGAACCCAGTCGCCAGCCGCGATGCCAGTAGTACGGACGCAGTCCCCGTTTGCGCCGGCACCGCCCCCGTCTTCTCCATTTGCCGTGCCGTCGTTCAGCCGGCCGTGGACGCCCACCAACGCGCGGCCCAGCACGCCGGTCAAGAGGACCGAGCTCGGCGTCCCGATGGGGGAGACGATGCTGCCGCGGGGACCCAGCCCCAGCCCGAGGGGGCCGCCGCTGAGGGCCAATACGGACTATCCCATCATGAGAAACTCGCCAGCCGTCAGGAATCGTCCTACGCCGGGATACATGTGAAAAACGAATTGATATTTTTCTATTGATCAACACATTTTAGAGGAATTTTCTTTCCCTTGATTATATATTTTTGGGCGGCATCTATTTTCATTCAAAAGGATTTCGGAAGAACAAAAAGACAGCAAAAAAGGACATCATATTTGCATCAGAGGAACTGGCGTTGAAATGAAACGGGGTAATGTTTTTGACCTCCCGGAACAGAAAGAAAGGGAAAGAAAAAGAGATTGGTTTTTATTTTCAGTTTTTTTTTTGTACATTTTCTGATACCCCAAGGTAGAGAGAGAGAGAGAGAGAAAGAGAGCATGATCCCTATTATGTATACCCACCCACCCATTTACAATGCGCCAAGAGCACGCGCTGTCATCTTCCCATTTTCCTTTGTTTTTCATCCATCCAACCATCCACAATTTGATATAGCATCATGGTCAAGCGCAATTTTTTTTTTTTTTAAAGTTGATAGCATAGCGAGTTGCCCTGGCGAATATTCAAGCTACGATTTAATTGAGCATCAATTGATTCAATCAATCCATGTTGAACGATCCTCAGCTGTGCTGCAGGGAAACACGTGACGGTGAGGCTGAGCGCCTCCTTGGCTTCCTTCCTTTCCCCCTCTCAGCTGCTGTTCTTAGTGATCTCGCATCCAGTCTTCTAGGACTTGTGGGTTCTTGGACCTCCCATTGAACTTTGATTGTTTACTTTGTGTTACCAATTTCTTCAAGGCGAAACCGGGACTTCCGAGATGAGACTCATACACTGTCGGGAAATGCGCCTGGTGCCATTTATTGGGGACAACATTCCCCCATATGCCATCCTCTCGCATACCTGGCGCGAGGGAGAAGTCACGTACGAGGATTTTGGCACTCCAGCGGCCGAGTTCATGGCCGGTTGGTACAAGATCCAGCAAACTTGCAAGACGGCGTGGTCTCAGGGAATTGAATACGCATGGGTCGATACGTGCTGCATTGACAAGTCGAGCAGCGCCGAGCTCAGCGAAGCCATCAATTCCATGTTCCAATGGTATGCGCGCTCGGCGATATGTTATGCCTTTCTCGAAGATGTCTTCATCGGAGGCGAGCTCGACCCAAAGCTGCTGGACAGGTCCCGGTGGATGTCTCGGGGTTGGACGCTCCAGGAGCTCATTGCACCGCACACGGTCGTCTTCTTCAATCGCCTCTGGCAGCCCCTCAAGACCCGGGAAGAGTTGAGCTTGGGGCTGAGCTGGACAACGGGCATCCCGTGTGAGATTCTGCAACGGAATGGTGCCAACATTGACGACCTGCTGCGTCTTGTCCCTGTGTGCCAAAAAATGTGCTGGGCATCCAAGCGCCAGACAACGCGGATCGAGGATACGGCGTACTGCTTGATGGGTCTGTTTGGAATAAATATGCCCCTACTCTATGGAGAGGGCTCCAAGGCTTTTATTCGCCTACAGGAGGAAATCATCAGACATAATAATGATCTGACAATTTTTGCTTGGCGGGCCGAGGTATCAACAACATTTGCAGGAGCCGCCTATACATTCGAAGAACAGACCCATACAAGCCACCAGATGACTGATGCAGAGGCCGTTCGGGGTTTATTAGCCCAATCTCCTCGTGAATTCGGTGACGCAAAATTCATCGAGCCAAAAGCGAGTGCGTACAACCAAGAGTACACAATCACCAACAAGGGCATTCGTATTACCTTGATAAACATTCTGCCCGAAGACAACTCGTCCAACTTTCTAATGAACCTCTACTGCCACGATAGACGTTTCAACGCCATAGTTCGCAGAGTGCTGACCATCTTCATTCGGCACATTGGTGGAGGCATATTCGTGAGGGTAAGGCCCGAGATTCTGCACGACGTGTTCCCCTTCAAGTATGCCGAGTCGCTTGCGACAGACCTGTATCTCGCAACAAGTGTGACGGCGGCAACCATGGCTTCGCTCCAGACTGTCCAATATGATGCGATTCGTATACCAAGCACGGCGGGACCCTCATTCCAGCTTCAACATGTTGTCCCACGATTGCAGATCGAGAGCAACTCGGGCCTCTTTATCACTCGCGGGTTCCTCAATGCCGTCGGCTATGCAACCTACTGCTATTCGGGAGGAAGAAGAGACCAGGAGCGCTGCGACCTGGTGGTGTTCTTTGGCCTCGATCAATACTCGACACCTTGGTATTGTGTCACTAGCCCAGATGTCTATCCCAGCTTTAATCACGAGCGATGGGCACAGGAGGAAAATCTCAAGCGTCACAGTCTAGATGCGCAGTTCCGGGGCAAAAGCGAATGCGAGCTGAGGATTGTAGATGCTCCGGGCATTTCGAGATTCATCAATGTTAAAGGCGGGTTCAATCGGATCGACCAAATATGGGATTTGAGTCTCGAAATTGTATCAACAGGACGACGTTCGGGAAGCTTGGTAATGCCGACTTGAAAACACCCGAATCATATTCAGACGGCAAAGTCCCAGACGACAAGAGGGACGGGGCATCATCATGCTGTGCATCCTTGTAAAAGTACTTGTCAAATGGCTGGCGGTAACCAAACATATCGCATAGATTCCTGGTCCCGGTCCAGTGGATCAAGACAACTGACAAGTGCGGGGAGAGCAGCATTATACTTTTCGGACGATTCCAAAAACCGCTTAGATGCCCTCTTTCCCCTCCAAAAAATCCATCACCAATTCCGATTCCGCTGCCCGCCTGATCACTGGCCCGAAGCCAGTATACATTACATACCTACACTGCATATCAGCAGTGGTTCCAACATCTATGCACATGCGGGATGCGGACCGCAATGCATGCTTGAAGTTTATCAAACAAGAACCCCCCCCCTCTTTCTCCTAATTGGACCTTGGGGCCTTTTCAAAGCGCTGTGTGACTTTTTGTACTATACTTTAACCAGCAACTACTGGTTGGTCGGCACTCCTACACGGAATAAGTAGAGAAAACAATTGAGGATATGCTACAACGTCATCGGAGCGGGAACCACCACGGCTTCTGCCACCTGCTCCTCCTCCTTCTCCATTCCTCCTTGCCATAATGGAATGATCCGAGGTCCAAGTGAACTTTGAGACTCATATGCTCTTCTCCGCTCTAGTTGCGGAGTATTACTTAAATAGATCCTTGGCTTGCCTTTTCTACACTACACCACACTTCTTTCTTCAATTCATACAACCACGACCCAATCACCATATTACAAATCAAAACCAAACCTAATTGAGACCACTTGTAAACTTCTACATACAAATCATCCACCATGGCCAAGGGAAGCTGTCTCTGCCAGGGCGTTGAGATCACCACGAGCATCGAGCCCAAGGCGACCGTCGCCTGCAGCTGCACGAGCTGCCAAGCTTGCTCGGCTGCTCCCTTTACCATCAACCTCGTGTATCCCAAGGACACCCTCGAAATAACCAAGGGCAAGGAACACGTCAAGATCTTCAAAGGTGAGGCTTCCTCTCTTGACCAGAATTGTTGGGGGTGGAGGGCAATAAGCGCAGGAATTCTCGACATCTTTGGGATTTGCCTCTCATGCACTTGGAAGAAGAAGAAAAGAGAGAGAGAGAGAGAGAGAGAGAGAGAGAGAGAGAGAGACAGCTGACCATGAATGCGCAAAACAGAAAGAGCAGACTCTGGAAACGATGTCTTCCGCCACTTCTGTGATACTTGTGGTAATGCCATTTACACCCAAACCGTCGACGGCACTTTCTTTGTCAAGGCGCCTGTCATGAAGGGCCTTCACAACGATCCAGTAATGCACATTTTCACCAGAAATCTGCCTGCATGGGCCGAGGATGTCAAGACGGGCGACCGCAAGAAGGATGGCGCCTCCTCATAAGCTGTAACGTGGACAAACGAAATAGAATGTGAACATGATAACTTTTTAATCTTTTTTTAATCTTTTTTTACTCAATTGTTTTTTATCTTTTTCCCTATCCATGTCCAGTGTCTATACATGTGCTTCGCGTGCCCGGCTGGCCTTTTTTGCCTACACACTTTCTTGCCTCGCATACGGTTTCCATTCCATTTTCCGGAAAACCAAAACGCAGTCAGCTTCTCCCTTCGTCCGTCTATAGGGTAGTCGTAAGAATATGCACGAAATGTCTGCTCTCGACAGACATCTGACAATCTCCTTGGCCAAACTGCTGCTGCCCGCTCGTCTCTATGCTTGGATGCTTTTTGTCCCATCACATCGCTGCAATGGTGAAAAGAAACAAATCGCTGGGACCAACCGTCCGATGGCGAGGAAATAAAAATCCAGACCAGGAAAACCACAAACATGATATAATATATGTATATGCCATGCAAACTCCGAGGCTCGCCGCCATGCAGAACCATAATCCGAAAACTGGGAATGCCGTATAAAAAAAAAAAAATGACACTGGCGTGAAATCGTATATGCGATTCGTCACGAATAGCATTGCCTCAATAGCTTCGAGCCCTCCATCATTTCGACATGACTACAAACAACCGAGTTATTTCTTCGGCGCCTGCGTGGCGCTATTTTCTTGTCAACCGATAATCTTCGTGTTGCTACATCTCTTTTTCTTGTGACTAGAGATGGAATCCATATGGTAGCCTGGATCTTTGTGATTGTCCAAAGGATGACGACAAAAAAATCTCTGTGTGAGATTTCTACCATCAGACACATGATGTTGCGTGGCAATTCGATCTTGCTATGCAAAAAAGTTTTGACAAGTGAAGTCAGTGGGTCGTTCACCCTCCCTTTCGCTCAGACTCATTCTTTGGTGGCATTTCACTATGAGAGTTGGCGTCGCCTCGAGGTTTCCCATCGGCGCCCTTTTTCCTTCCCTTGGAAATCTTTTGCCACCCGTTGACGATGCTGTTGTCGCTCTCACTTTTGGCGCCTCTGGTGTGGCCATTTTCTCTTACATGGTGGCCATTTGCTTTGGAACCCGAGGAAGAAGACTCGGGTTTCGCCGATACCGTCACTTCCGCAGGAGCCTTCTGTTTAGGCCTATGTTCGAGTCTTGCATCCTTGCTAGAATGAGACAAACTAGGTCGCGTCCGTGGCAGACTCGCCGGCAGGTCGAATTTGCGACTGGCTGTTGGGGATGGAGTCACTTCAGTGATGGGCGACAGATGTGGATCAGTTATCTGCATGCGATCCGTTGCTAAGTCGAGCGCCATGAGAGGGCTTTGTGGCTGCCCAGGCACAAAGGTCCGTGGGAAGCCAGCAGGCTGGTAGTGCATAGGCGGTGAGCTGCCGGATCCGGTTGATGAGCTTGCAGCAAACGGAACCCCATGGTATGCCATCGGAATACCTTCTATTGCCTGGCACGGTGCTACTGAAGCCGGAGATGAACCGTTCACGACCACAGGGCGGTCTACAACCAGAGGCTCGCCATTAGTGGCTGCGGCAGCCTGATCTGCCACGACATAAGAGTATCCAGTGCCGCCTGTTGACTGCTGGTTAATGTTAAGCGGATTCTCGTACAATGCGTCTGAGGGGTTGATATTTTCGCCGGTAACAGCTTTGTGGCTCGCAACAGGTGCAGAGGACTTGAAAACCGAGCCATTAACAACCAGAGGCCTTGCATCCTGTGTTGGTCGAGTCACACTCTGAGGAGCAGAAGCTGCCAGGGGGTTGGCGCCTGGACCGGTGGTCACGGCCCTGTTACCCAACGGAGAGGGCGAACGTGAAGTCCGCTTGATCCGGTCAAGAATTGATTGCGGAAACTGGTCTGAAGATAGGCGGCGACGACCCTGGGTGCCCTGGCCAGATCCCTGAGACCCAAGATCCCCAAAAGCAGGCAGACCGTTGGGCTTTCCCGCTGGACTTGTGGACAAATCACGTTGCACTTGAAGTTTGTCCTCTGCCTGTGGTACGTGGCTGGCTACCAAACCAGGATCAACTTCGGTACCTTCGTCAGGAATGAAGCTTGGCATGGGCCTGCCGTTGATTTGCCTGGTAGGGATATTTGCAGTACCATTCACGACAGGAGCCTGTGCTAGCAGTCCGGGGACAACCTGAGCGCTAGGGGCGGATCTAGAGGCAGGCTGTGAGTGAGACCGTAAAGCACTTCCCGAAGCTGCAGTCCCAGCTTCATGGGCTGCACTAGATCTATGGGAGCCGCGCCGTTGTTCCGCAGCTTGTTGCGTCGACGGTGATGACGGATATGACGTGAAGCTTGGCGGGCTGGCATAGTATGGCTGGCCTTGGAACTGCTGCCAGTACCACATATCAGGACGGATCGGTGCGGTCAGGGGCGGTGCATCGAAGGAGTTGGTCCTCGAACGGGCTGTCGATGTTTGTGGCTGAGAGACATTACCTTGCATTCTCTGTGCGTGAGTAAGCACCTGCTGCTGCTGAGCGAGTGCTTGGTTTTGGGTATACTGAAGAAAACGCAACTGATTTTCCTGCAACTGCAAATCTGACAATGTTTGAGCAACAGCCATGAACATGCCACCATCGTTTCCCATGTATGGATAGCTTGGATAGTAGGCAAGATTGGCATTGTTGTCATATGTTGTGCTAGAAGAGGCCCTGCGGTTGTTCGCGTGGTTGTTGCTGCCACGAAATTGACCTTGTTGGCGACCTCCTCTCCGAGAATTGCCACCATTGTTGGGTCGGTTCGTGTGGGAAGCACTGCGGAGGAGTGCAGGCCTGGGCGCCGAGGATGGTTTCTGGAATATCGGCTTCTCTTCTTCCTTGGGGAAAACGTATTGTTCGCAGCACTCATCGAGCTTGCCTGCCGCGATCAGATCAAAGGCTCGGCGTAGCTCGAGATGAATTCCTCGGAATGAAGTGTCGTCGGCTGTATTACCCAGGTTGCGCATAGTATTGAATGGTTCCTCCACGCACAACCTATTGTTAATTGCCAGCAACCAACTCTTCCTCTCGGACTTGGACATTAGTTTGCCAAGGCGAACGGACACGGCACTGTTATCGTAATCGAATTCGTGCGCATAGAACCGGAAGAACTCGAACAACAATTCGCCCACAGTAGACTTGTTTGGCTCGCCAAAACCTCGGAGTCTCTCCAGATCATCCCCGAAAGGTGCGATGTCGGCCTCCCTCTTTCCTTTTTTCAAGTGCGGTCGTTGATGGAGTGAAGGGACAACCGGTGGCTGCCGTAGCTGGAGAAAGGCGATGATCATACATATCCAAGTGTATGAGCTGAGAGTACCACCAAAAGCTAAATCATGTCAACGTCCATCCCATGCTCGCGGGAGAAGATTGAAGGAATCGCTACGTACCTGCGTCGTTGATCATCCGACGACGCGTCCAGTGCTTGATGATCATTGCGAGAGGTCGTACCCGATCGTCAATCTCAATGTACGTTCGGATCATGCGAGTATTCTCCAACGCAAGGGTGTTGTTCACATTCATGTCGCAAGCCAGCTCCAACTCAGGATCCCAAACTTTCACGATTGGCACCTTGGCGGAACTGACACAGACTACCTTTTGCATGCCATCTGCGAAAAGAAGGAGTGTTAGCGAAGTTGCACTTGACAGGAAGAGAGGTGGTATGCCTACGACTTGCTAGCAACTCGGCAAGCTTGCAAATCGGTTTGTCGAGTTCTTTCCAAGTCGTTTCAATGCAGATGTCCACTGAGGGTTTTGTGTCAGCAACCAAATTGTGGGAAGATTACAGTTCCGACTAGGGCGTTCACGAACCATCAGAATCATCCGTGCAGAGCAAATTGCCAGACGATCCAAAAAGATTAACACGAATGCTGCAGCCAGGCCAGGCCTCGTTCAACAACTTCTCCAATTTCTGTACCAGTTTGTGGCGCTTCTCTTCCACGGCATCGGTCGGTTTTAACCGGTCGTAGAGTTCGCGCATATCCGTCGTCAACTTTCGCTCATCGTCTTCTGAGAGCCTGCTCTGAATCTTGGAAAGATCAGAGCGTTCGAGCTTTTCATCGCCAATGCTGTAGGGGATTCTCCGCCGTATCTTCTGGACAGCCGTTTCGAAGCGGCAGCCACCATGTCGGGGCGGCAGCGGCCGGAGTGAAGGCACATTGCCATTAGTCTCGGAATATGCAGAGCGTGGGGAATGTCCCTGGATCGCGTTTGGGGAGGGTTCTCTCGACTCGTAGGTGAATTTCCGAGGATGTTGGTGGGGGGTCGAAGGCACGGAACTGGAATGCCCTCCTGCTGCAGTGAGATTGGTTGGCGAAGTGGAAGACGCCACGGCAGGTCGAGATGGGAGGGGGTGCGTGAGATCGACCGCCGTTTTCCTCGGCGGGGGCATCTTATCCTTTGACGTTATACCAGCGCGATCGCCTTTACCGGTATGATGGTTCTGCAGGCCTCTATTCCCATGGCAATTTTGCGTGCCGGGTTTGGCGCGTGATGAATCCCTGTTCGACACTTTGGAAGTTGAGCGAGAGCGCGGCCCGACTTGAACGTTCGGAGTCGACAGCAATGGTGGCAAGGGGGTTGTCTGGAGACCTCCTCCGCGACCGCGTCCTGGCGCAATGAGTTTGTTGTACTGGAGAAGTTGAGCGTGGTACAATGAGTTTTGCTGGGGAAAGAGAATGGGAAGCAGATCAATGTGGGTGGGGAACGCAGACGGCGGGTGGTCGGGTCGCGGCGAGGGCGTCGTGCAGCAGTTCGTCACGGAGACGGTAATTGCTGCCGTGTGCAAACTTGATGTGGCCAATTTCGGGACAGCTGGACTGGAGATTGAGCGGTTCCAAAGCTGTAGGTGAGGAGGATAATGATGCTTTGAGTCTGCCGTAGTAGGCCGAGCGTCCATGAAAAGCGGTCGCCGAAGGTACGGCCTAGAAAACGGCGAGTCAAGTTGCAGCGACCTCCAGCCCGCTTTCTTTCTGGTCTGTCTGTTCTGTTCTGACTGAAGCGGAATTTAATTGGGGGTGGTTTTTTTCCCCTCTTGTCGGAAACCCCTAATCGTCTTGTGTGACTGGTCGAGTTCAACTTGGCTGCAAGTCCAGAGAACAACGTAAGAAAAATTCCAGACAATAGGGTAAACTGGCTAAGTAACGGGTGACTCGATTGTTCCAATTTGCAATGTTTGGGATAATTATTCCGGGCAGCAGCAGCAGCGCAGATGCAGAATGCAGAGACAGGAGGTTCGAGAACAATGGGGGATCGGCGAATGACGGAATGGCGGCGGCGGTGGTAGTAGTGTAATAGTAGTGGTGGCTCTGGTGGTAGGGGTGACTCTGATGATGGTAGTGGTTGTGGTAGTGGCACGCTGCAGCAGACAAGAGCGCTGAATTGGGTTGGATTGGTTCGGTCTCAGCGTTGGAGGTAGGCAGTACTTGTAGCGAGCACGCCTAAGAAGTACCTCGATTTAGAGGGTTCAAGCTCGTTCGGAGATGCGGACCAGGTAAACGAAAACGCAATTCCAGTCGCGCTTTATTGTATATACCAATAATAGCCTGAGATCTTGCAAGGAACTCGTCTATCTCTTTCTCTCTCTCTCTCGTGTTGCTGGCTGCAAAAAAAAAATGAGTTTGCGAAAAGTATAGACAAACTGGGTTGGGGGAGAAAAAAGAATATTGAGAAAAGAACCAGATGCTGTTTGACGCTGGGTCAGGACTGTAAGGACTTTGGCCTAGCGGTGCAGCATCTCTCGCACAGCGAATGAAGGAGAAACGATTGAAACAGACATGCACGTCCACGGATCGACGTGGAGACGGAACAGGAGTGCGCGGGCGGATGCGGTTGAAAAGTCGTGGGAAAAGGTCGAAGACAGACACAAAAGATGAAGAGAGACACAGGTTGCCGTAAGAACCTGGGCAATGCAACTAACTACACGAGATGAGGAAACAGCCTTCCTTGGGAAACAATGTGGGATCCTTTCGGGTTAGAAAAGGGAGAGAAAGAGCAACGGGATGTGTGGTAGGGTGAACGTCCGTCTGTTCTGGTAGTGGTGGTGGTTGAGTGATCGTGCATACGAGAGTAAAACTAAGATTGAATGAATGTGACAGGGCAGGAACCAGAACGGATAGGGATTGTTTGTACGATGTACCTCGAGGTAGGTCGATCATCAATGGGCGTACATCGGTATGTCCAATACAGGGGATACACTATGTATGTCATGTAGGTATGATCTGGAAAGCCTGTAATAATAATGTTGGAGATTGAAGCATGGAAACAGAAACCGGCTCATTCATCTACAGTCTCGCTGCCAGCCAGGGTCGGCCAGTCAGTCACCGCAAGGTCACCTCACCATGCATTTACAGATTACTTATCTACTTATTGCCTACATTACCAACCAACACACTTATTTTTATTTTATTTTATACTTGCTACCACCATTGGTCTGTTCAATCAAAAGACCGAGTCCCCAACTAGACCCTATTCATCTCTTATAGTCCTCACTACAGACCGGCATTTATTGATTTCTAGGAGCATCAATGATCGTTGGCGCCAAAAGTTCAATTATGGAGACTTGGAAACAGCCTATGTTAGTTAGGCCATATGCGTACTGGTACGATACAAACTACACGAACTACCTCCAACCAACGTAATTATTACTACCGCAATCGTCCCATGTAATGTGTGCATCGAAATGTGCGTTATTACCTAGGGAGATCAAGAGAGCAGAAAGAAGAGATGAATGCACCCTGCAACTGGGAAAGTACATACGACTGTCAAGCAGGTAGGCAATTTGCGACTCGATATACGCAGTAATAGTTGTTTTCACTGCAGAAATGTACAGAGTACATGTACCTACTTGCTTATGTACCGTTGTATGCACTATTCTTGAAGAGCATCTGGTGTACCTAAACTAAATGGTTGGCTGGTATGCATATGTTACATACAGGTTCACTACACACAAGGTAATAAAGCAGTCATTGAGGAAGTCGAGTCCCATCCAACATTGAACAGCACATTAAACCAACTGCCTGATCATTGATCCCTTCATTGCAGCATCCAACTCCTTCGGCGTCTGGAACAAAGAAGCATGGCCTCCAGACATCTGGGCGCTGTGTAGGGTCCCGCACCTCACGCCCTTCTTTTCTCCGTTTCATCAACCTGCATGATTTTTCTACAGGGGATTCCGTACATTGGCCTACCTTGGTGATTCTACACTACTTCCATGCTTGCAGGCCAGACCAAGAGCCGATGTGGGTTGGCTGGCCACTGCGCGGGTACTTGAATAGTTCCATGATTTCGCTTCCAGGACCCCGAGTGGTCGCCCCCCGGGTCCAGCACTTGGGAACTGGGAACTGCAAGTGCAACTCGGGCCCTGAGACCTGGGAACTCGACAGGTCGGCGGTCCACGATCTTGGGCCTTTTGGTGTACGAAGTACGATATACATGCTCTCTCTATCTCTGCCTTTCTCTCCCTCTCTGCTTTTTCTCCCCCCGGGACTCTTCTCGTTCTTGAACAAAAGGGGCATCTACCGGCGATCCGCCAGCCGGGTTGCAGACCACGTTGAAATACACTACACGACTTTAGTTGGTAGCGGAATCATTGAGTGGCATGGACCAGTTGATGAGCCTGAGGGACCTCCCCCAGTCCAAGCCATGATCCATGATCCATACATCTCCCATCTCCCAATGGTGGTCGCCCACGGGCCACGGGCCACAACTGATGGCGGGTTTAATGGGCGGCCATCTGGCTCAGGGACCAAGACCCCCGAATCATCCCCCCCGTTAGCTTCACCGTTTCTCTGCACTGATATGTATGTACATAGTATCTGTCCGGGGGTCCTAAGAGACCTCCATTCGCCCCAGACACCTGCCCAGGTACCTGACCTGACCCTACAAGAGGCCCATCTATCTTTATTACTCGCGTGCATCTGGGTCGCAGACTGGCTACTGCGGTGCCCGTTGGAGGCATATGAGTGATCCTGCACAAGTATCACATTTGTAAAATCTTATTTCGTAGAACCCTCCCATTCAATGTTCTTTTTCGCCGCATCTTCTCCTTGTTGGCAGCCGTAAACTTGAGACAGAAATCACAAACAAGACAGGACTCATACGGCACAACGGCACAGGGCCCAATCACGTGTCTGCGCCTCGGCTGAGGCTTTGACAACGAGTGAGTCGCATACAGGCCTTGGAGGGGAACACAAGCAGAAGTAGCGGCGGCGTGCGTTCTCGGCAGGACGGAATGGCAATTCAGCAGCCCAGTGGGTACACTGACTTCTTGCCTGCCTACTTACGAAGTATCTACAGCTTGCGTTGCGAGGCATAAGCGAACACGACGCTAGACACGATATCGTGAGCCACTGAAAAAGCGGCCCCAGTCCAAGTCCAGCCCAAAGGGATAGGTAGGTCAGAGATGCTCAAGAGCCAGTTGCCAGTACGGCAAACCCTCAATGCGGTGGGGTTTGAAGGGCACAATCACGAAATTACCATATTGCTCGTGGACAACGCGCCATTGGCAAGTAGTTTGCCCATCAATCTCACATGAATGGGGCCAAGAAGGGCGATCGCTGCGGGATAGTTGCTTTAGTCTAACCCAGCTTTGGCCCCCTTTCGCCCCCTCTCTCCTCTTCTTTCGTCCGTTGTCTGTTCTTGGACCTTGCCAGCCAATGCATGCACTTCCGCGATCCATCGATTGGGACTGGATGGAGCCCTGTGTGCTTGCTGGTACCAGAACATGCAAGGAACAAGATGTGGAAGAACGCAAGCAAGCGCCGTGGGCTGAGTACCGTAATGGCACCTGACAAAAGGGGTTTAAAATCGTCGTCAGCACCACTATATCCCATCAGTCACACAATGAGCAAACAGAATACTGCGAGAATGGCGCCATTGGCTTGTACGTACTGTGCTCTAAGCCTTCGTCTTCGGACATGATAGGGCACTAGAGCCTGATCTCCCCGCTAGGACCGAGGGACAGTCCACACCCCACGGATCTACAGACGCCTAACGACACAGTGCGCTCATAGCCAATAGGTCAAGAGTAGCACCGTTTTGAGCTGCCATTCTTCCCATGGTGAGGATACCCGACTGTATTTCACCATCAGCTATTCTGCATCTGTCATTCGGAATTGTGATACGAGGCCAGCTCTTTTCAGCCGCTTCTTCCCTGATTTGTTACTGGCTTCCTTCTGTCTTAAGATGTGTTTGGGCAGGTCGTATTCGTGTGCCATGGACTTGACATCATTTTGTGCACAGTTCACGAAAAATACGCCAACAATTCACACGAATTACAGAGCCTCTGCATCACGAACTGGGTCCCAGTACGATCGTCGTCGTTGGCCGTCCCACTCGCATTCAGTTCTCGGGGATTTGTTTCCTTTGGTTCTCTTGAGCTCATTCTCGCTTATCTGTGGACGCCTGACGGGTCGAATCCATCGTTGGCAGAAGAGCTTGAGCGGTACTGTCCACCACCTACTTCCTATCTGAGGACACACTGCCGACAGTCACCGCTTTCATCATCCGCCAAGATCAAGTCTGCTTCATGGCAAACGCCACAAGCTGTCAGTCTTTGCTGCTAGTCTCTCATACAAATCTAGACCAGAATCGCCGTACGTACGGCACTATAGGCAGCCGGCGCGTATCTACCGGTTAAGCATGAGAGATCTGAGCTGAAGGTTGAGACTCTGGCAGCGCTTGTATGATTCCATACTTTTGGAAAGCAATACCGTTTTGTTTCTGCCGCTTCCAGAGCCATAGTTTGGGCCCGGTGATATTTCTTTTCGGGCGTATCACGAGCTCCGAGGAAGAGTCCGTGATTCTAGTCCGTAGCTACTGGCACATCATCTTCGTTTATACACTGACAATGAGTATACTCCCAGACCCCCATTGCCGGTGTTCCCTGGACATATTGTTGTACGGTACTGTCAACGCCATTTGAGGAAGTCGGGTTGCAGGGAATGGCAAAGTCGGTCCTTGTTTGACTAGCCCCATCACCCGTGTTCCCCTTGCAGGCTACTTTGATCTTTCTTGATCTACATCCTTTTATTTCAGCCGGGAGTGCCAGCTTTAAAAATCCGGCATTTTTGTGGCACGCTTGCGTTGCGGATGCGTGCTTCGCATCAGAGATCCAATCAATACACGTCCTTTAAGCTGGAGACATGGCTAACATTATCGGACCACATAGCAGAACATACTCATCACAGGGATTCAATTTCACCTGTCAGTTGGTCGCATTGAATTCTGGCATACTTTCACTCCCAACTTGTGTGGAAAGGCATCATCGGGCTCACCCGCTCGTTTACTAAATTGGAACTTTTCAGTATCTCCTTGCCCCACAGATCGCTTACTTTTCCATCTCGTGTTACCAACATGACATCTTGTTACATGCTGGGCTGGTAAAATTATGTGCCGAAGCGGCTCACACAACAAATACCTGCCAAGTGGGTTCGAGAAGGCAATACCAACCTCACCAATCGAGCGGATGTCGAAATCCTGAAGCGTACGACATGCATATACACTATAGTCACAGTTCCCGCGCTCCCGGACGATTCAACCAACCAGGAGCAGCCAGGCTCATCTGTTGCTTTTCGCTCTAATGTCTAACGGAACTTCAAAGGTTGTCAAAAAACGTTTGGCACTTACCAAGGGCCTTGATTGTGTAAATTTACACTTGATTCGGGATATTTTTGCCCGTCGTCCCAAATGACTGGACCAGGATATCATGTGGTCGCGACAATGTCCACTCGAGCTGCGACTACGTTCCACTTGCCGTCTCTCTACTCAGGCTTTGCGGGCAGCTTTAGATCAATCGAGAAAGCCACGATTTCTCGGGAACAGTTTCCGTGGCACTGGCACCGATCAAGAAACACGAGAGAAATTCGCTACCTACCTTGGCTAGGTGAGCTACTCGTGTGTGCATTGACGCAGATCTCACATAAGCCACATGATTTCTTTCAGCTTTTGTCCTCAAGGCAAAGAGGCTATTCAACCCAAGTCCCAAGGTCGCGGTGACAACTGGCTATTCTTGGGTCTTGACAGGACGTGCATTACTTCAGGGTGATGTAGTCCGCGCTACATTCCCTTTTTTTTTTTTTCTCCTTCCAACAACCAAAATCGAGACTTTGCAGCTCAAATGTCCAGGCGGTCTAGGATCAGCCCTGGTTCCTGTAGGACGGCACGGAAAGACCTGTCGCGACTCTCCGAAGCATGGCGAAATGGTGTCGTCTTCGTAGAACGTGACACTCATAATTGTGATCTTTGTCTCAGCTCGCCTCGCCATGAATACCTTGAGAACGCCACGCAGCCCAAATTTCGAGACCAAGAGAGGTCAATTCCTTGATTGGTCTCCCACATTTTTGCTCCCCTCAATGCTACTTTGACCTTTATATACAATGCCAGGCGAGGAAAGACACGACGAAAAGCTCCACGAGTACAAACGTTGGATTCACATTGGTCCGCTCTTTTGTCGCAAGCCCCCGCCAAGTACGGAATGCCTCTGTTCAGATTGCTCTGCATTTCACTGGGCGTTGTGCCGCCGGCACGGCCATATAAAATCTGGCGCACACGTAGATATGACGAAAAGCAATTTTGTACTTTCGGATGTGTCCAGCTAAGAAGATTGGTCTCAAAGAACCAACCCCCCACAAGCCGAAAAGAAGCATTACAGTTATTTGTCTAGAGGTCAAGAGTCACTGAGTAATTACTTGTAAATTTTTCCCCCCTTCCCCTTGTTGCAATGAGAGGACTACTACTGTACGTCTGCAAAAGTGTTGGTGCACTCTTGAACCTTGTTCAGTCGTGGCCTCCATCTCTCCTTGGGATGTGATGACGCTACTGCAGGTCAAATTAATAACCATCCCCCAAAGTATTCTATTCTTTACCTATTAAACGCGCGTACTATTTTTGAGCTCCGTCATGATGCTGAGAACGGTCACGACCCTCCGCTGACTTTCCCAAGTTGGCAGACGGCTGCTTCCGCGGACCGCTCTTGATTATCGCTCTGATTATGGTTTTTTTTTTTTTTCTCAACTTGTCGTTATCTGGTACAGAACAGTTGCTCCATCTGATGTCAGGCCGAGGCAGAAACAACTCCCAATGCGGATTCCATAATACCTTATCGGATCTGGGCACTCGTCAGTTGGCAATATTCGTCGCCAAGTGCCCAGAATCATATTGATGTCATTCATGCTCACGCTGTCGTGACAAAGGCACGGCAGGATGTTTTTGTGTAGATGACAGGAAGTGGTTTGTCCATCCCATCAAGTCTGCACTATGACGCCACTCTTTTATATTTTCCGACATGAATTCAGGGTACTAAAACCCATCCGCAGATGATGATGTGGAATAGAAATGAAATCCGCTTCTTGTGGATTTATCCATTGCATAAAGACTCTACCATTCTATTTCTCTCAGTATGTACAATATTAACAATTCTAAGAAAGGTTCGGGCTTGTTCAACTCTTTTGACTACCTGATATAGGCAATTAAAAAAAAGCTTCTACCCGTTTGGCCAATGAGACTCGACCTGTATGTACAGAGTACATACTCAAGGCCAGCAACTCAATTCGCAGCAGTATTGATTAGAATCGTAGTTGTATTCCAAAAGGCCTCTCTCCAATATCAGATGAAGTGCATATTTGAATCCACAAATCAACTTACTTAAGTTGGTCTCGGCTTTTTTCCCTATAGAAAAAGTGCTGGTTCTGGCTCTGGTTCCCATAAAATCCAGATTCAATTCAACCCCGCCAAAAAAAACTTCCCCACAAAAGCAAAGACCCTCAACCCCTCCATGCCTCTGCGGCCTAGCGCACTAAGGGCCACTGAGCACATCCTACCCTCAGTGCTGGGTCAGGGGGGTTTCGGGTCACAAGCATTGATCAGCGCCGGTAGCTCTTGGCATCAGCCTCGCCTCTGTAATGTTTAGCGCGTTTCCTGCAAGGGCGCCTCTGCTTTCGTTTCTTACGAGTCAGGGCTAGGGGACCAGGCTCAAAGCTATGACTGGACGACGAACCCCTCCCTCACAATTCATGATAAGCGATAACCTCTATGAACTTTCTGCAACATCAACTGTATCAAGGGGTCGTCGTCTTCCTTCCCTTCAGCCTTGGGACAAGGAGACTTTATGTTTCTCACAATGGCGTGTCGGATGTTTTCTCCTGCAGCTACCTGTTTCTTCTCCTTGTCCTCGGTTTTGCTTCTTGTTTCTGGAGGAATTGATTGAGCATTCTAGTTTGACGATATCATCACTTTTGAATATCCAACAAAACCCAAAACATTGAGATCGTTTTTACTCATGATCGCTTGAAGAACAAAAAGCACCCGCATCAAGTGACATTTCGACCCTTCAGCCTCTCCCCACGGCAATCTGCTGACTGAAAAGATTTGGTTTCTTTCTACAACACCAATCGTGGTGACCATCTGTCCCCTCCAAAACAACATGCTTTCCAGTCTGACAACCAAGCTCGCACTGCGCAAAGTGGGCCTCAAGAGCGATTCATTTGACTTCTCATCCCCGGCTGCTAATAAGGGCAGCGACTCAAAGTCCGCTTTTGACAATGACGACAGCACCGCGGCCGGCGGCTGGCCCGCGTGGATGAGCACGCGAAAACTCCCCCTGACTGCTCAAGCCTGGCTCTCGCCCGTGCCGCCTCCCGTGCCCGTGGCCGACTGTCCCAAGGTCGGCGACCTCGCACCGCTCGACAGAGATCGGCAGCTCAGTATGGGCGGTGGCCGGAGAGTAGTGGTGCTATTTATGCGCTGCGTGGGATGTGCCTGTTAGTAGTCCAAATTGTCACATATCTCTGCAAAATTGCTCCCCTCCCCTCAATCATGCGCTTGATAACTAACTCGTGGTTTTCCCAACCGGCTTCCAGTCGCACAGAAATCTTTTCTAGCCCTACGCGCCATGGCGAATCGCTACCAGAGCACCGGCCTGCGGTGCATCGCCGTGTCGCACTCGTCGCCCGAGGCCACGCGCAAGTGGATCGATCTGCTGGGCGGCGCCTGGAACGTCGAGGTGGTCGTGGACGAGGACCGCGCCATCTATGCGGCCTGGGGTCTGGGTCTAGGCACTGTCTGGTCCATGTTCAACCCGGCGACGCAGCGCGAGGCGTGGAAGGAAAAGGGATGGCTCGGCGAAAAGGTCGCCGGCGCCATTACTAGAACCGGCAGCTTTGGCAAACAACTCAATGGTAACGGGCCAGTAGGGGTGGCTACACAGCAACAGGCGGAAGATGACGACGGGTTTGGTCCGAGTACCGTCATGGGCAACAAATGGCAACAGGCCGGACTTTTCGCCGTCGACGGGCGAGGCACCGTGGTTTGGGCTCAAAAGGCGCTGAGAGCAAACGACTGCCTGGACACCGAGTCTGCTGTGAAGGCGCTGGGACTATAAAGTGTATCTGAGTTCACAAAAATTACCGTTTACAGTCTATGGAATGCGAGTCGAAAGGCAGGAATCATCTTGAGGTTTCTTGAGGCGTTGAAGAGCTTCACCGTTGGTTTCGGCAAATCATATTTGTCCAATGCGAGGATTCGGCATTGAGCGATTGTACACCAGAATGAGCATACAAGGGCAAGGAGTTATTGGGCTTAGCGTGTTATATATCTGTCACTTGAATTGGAACTACTGATCTTCACCCCATGTCAAAATTTTCATATATTTCAGGCAATTGATCTGGTACACGGCGTGGCTCGAGTGGTCTTTTATTTGCGTTATGTGAACTTATGAGAAGGGAAAAATTCAGAAACGCCACTTATCCCCATCCATTGAGGCAAGTAGGAAGTAAATGTCTCTTGGCTTTGTCTGTTTAATAGTAGTCAGAATGACGATTGCTTATGGCGGTTGTGATGGACGAGACTTTTGCATCTCATCCAGTATTTCGGTCAACTGGCATTCATCTCTTCTGTGTCTTATCTAGGCACTTGTTGTAGATATTCTCATGGACACCACATTTTAGATAGCATTACTTCTGACTATCCTTTTTAGGCATGAAAATGTGCAGCCCGATTTGCATCCTTTGGTGTTTAAGAGTGTACATCAGGCAACATACTCAAGGTATTAAAGTGAATTCATTTGACTGGCAATAACGGTATTTTGTCACGATCATCTCACAGCACAGTGTTCACCTGAGACCAATCCTATCAAGAAGAGTATTGAATTGATTGTATAGGCGACTTTCTTTATTTTTGTGTCATGTCCTATGTGACATGAGATTTTATTGATGCGGTTGTTTCAGTCAACTTCCTAGGTGAAGGTGATCGCTCGTATATTAGATATTAGCATGGAGGACTAGACAAAAGGTCCACGATACACTAAACAAATGCATCGAGCCATTTGTCTTGAAGAATGCTATTCAGATTTCTTTAAATAAAATTTTATACAACTCCGTCTTGTAAGTATTTTGGGTTGCCCTCTATTAATTAAACTATAACGCAGGACTTGGAACAAAAGCACTCGTGAAGGTCCATGAACCTCTAATCGTAGCTCAATCTTATTCGGAATGGTCACCAGGTAGGACTATCCGAGCAAAACATCTTATTCCTGGACTTTCCATCAATAAGATTAGCGCCTATTGAATGTCAAAAACTAAATCATATATTATCGATTCGAACCGATTTTGTCTTGTTGGTACATTTTGGTATGTTCTTGTAATAAAGCTGGCCATGACATGATATTTATATCTTTGCATCAGTCAATACATCAGCCCTTGGTTTGAAGCTTCAAAGCAAGTGTAACCCAACTTCCTATCATCACCAGCATCGCTGATCAGATATACTTATTTTGAATTCGACTCGAGATATTTCAATTCTTGTCTATGATAGCATCAACCTTTGCCACCACCGACCCCCGGTGCCTCGGGAGCAATAGCGAGAAAACTCCTGGTGTGGTTCAATAATTCCTCTGCCAGCACAACCTGATTGGACAGCCAGAATTGGCCCAATCACAACCCGAGGAAGAAGGATTGGGGATTCTTTTTGTATCGTCTGTGGCGCCTTTTTCTTTCTCTCTCCCGCATGTAGCCTGCTGCATATCCCATGTCCTGAACTGAGTACCAACAAGTGCACGAACAGCTACGACACATTCTCGCCTCTCACCTTTAATTGCGCGCGGGGTGTTACCCCCTCCTCTATCCCCCGCCCTCTGCCCATGACGGCTTCTTTTCGCTTGGGTAGGGTTAGATGAATCTCGCGCATATATGCACAGGTGGGTACGTGGTAGTAAACAGCATTACTCCATGATCATATGATTTACTCGTCCGCCTCCGTCTGGGGCATTTCGGACCGAGAAGTCAGTCTACGATTCAACAATCAGAGGTAAAAATAGATTGGGTTCATGCCACTGCCCTGGTGTAAAAGCCACCAGGTCTATCAAGTGTGCAAAGAAAACAGATTCGATAGCCGGGCAGTTTTTCTTTGCTGACAAGACTTTTCAATTTCTCCGGCGGGGGCGTCGAGAGAATAAAAAGTTTCAACCGGCGAGCCTTTAGGCGACGTGTTTTTGCGACAACAGATGCACAATGGCCAAAGAGATCTGACTTTTCTATCAAGATCAGGCCTCATGATTCGAGCGTCACTGTGCCGTAAGAAATAAAGTCCACATGGAGGGATACACGGGCGTCAGCAATGGGCCGATTGGGCAATGATTACACATATGTCATCGCTGAAGCGAGCCCTCCCTCATCCCTCCCTTCCTCTCCCCCAAGTTAGTAAAAGGTGGGATGAGCGCATACAATCCCCAGATAACTCATCAAAGGGAACAAGGGGTGCGGGTATGCGGGGGAAAAGAGCTATTCTGGATGTCTCCAGAAAAGAGTCAAGGGCGGAAAACGAAAGGAAACTTGTGGGGGGTGGGAACCTGCTTTTGGGAATGTCTGGGTCATTGGCACCTATCTGACTGGATGGGATAGATATTAGGGCGCATCTGCATGATATATCTACATACATGAGGGTACACAAAAGCTGCAGTAGCGTGAGAAATGGCATGAGCTGGCTAGAGAATATGTATAGTAAAGAATTTGGCCGAGAAAGTGACATATCAGCTCCAAGACTTGTATTTTATAGTGACGAGTTGTCCCAAGTTTCGGGCTACCGGAAGAATTTATCTGTCAATCAATGAGAACCCCTCCGAATTCCAAGTGCATGCGATCAATGGAATGTAGTCATGAGCTCTGTGACTTTGATAAAGCCACGAAGCAGCTCGGAGTCGCAAAGCCAATGGTTGTGGCATACCACACACTACTAACCAGTCGACGATTTTGAGCCTGCAAGTGGTTTTCAATCGTCACCTGGGATGAGGCGAGGCATATATCTCTTTCGAATGCATATCATACCTGTCACGATGATATTGTCTCCTAAAACAAAGGCCGAGTTAAATCGCAGTAGTCTTCGTGAATATGCAAAATTACAAGGTCAAGGGCCGACGGAGACCGACACAAACCCCTCGAGCGCTGATAATAGTAACGATTGCCCCGCGCCGCTCTTGGCGATTGAGAGAAGGAAGTGCCGCTACATTAGGAAGTTCAGGTCCAGGTAGCAGCAGCTGGGAATCCAGACCTAATGATATATGCCTCAAGAACAGCAAGAATAGCCTCGGAAGATGTGACGCCCAAGTAACGGCTCAGAAGCCATGAATTAGAAACGTGTGTCTCGATTTCAGGTCGAATCATGGCAATCGTTCATCATGGAGGGTTCCATAGATATGTTGCAAGTAGGTCAAAAAGTACCGCTGACCTGATGACCTCTTCTAGAAGACCTGAAATCGCTGTAAGCCATGTGGTGCAGAGGCGCAATTGTGGCTTCGTCTTGGAGCTTTCCAGACCCCCAGTGCCGGCAAAGTCCAGCTAGTTGATGCAATAACAACAATGCCTGCGTAATAGTAGTCTGTAGTACAAGTCGTGGCTGCTTAGACCTAGATAACGATTCGTTCTATTCTTGGCTTGCTAAAAACCAAAATTTCGTCCAAGGGGGACATAACAAGCAAGGAGATTTTGGTCGATTGGCCCACGATCTGGTGGGATAATCGTAGCGAAACTTTGTCCACCATGTCACCAGTTGGGCTGATTGGTAGGTTTGTGACAATTTACCGACTTGATGCCGAATGAAATGTTCGCTCTGGGGCTGTTCCATCGCAGTTTCAAACGACATAGAACAGCTCCTACTATGTACATTCAAACTGTTGATCCGTTGCACGGACATATCAGGTACATGGTAGAAAGACGAGGCGAGAAATTCGTGATGGAATGCAAAAGGCAGATTATGCTGTGTTACCAACCGTACTTGACTCCCAGCAAATCGGACATGTGAGGAGGGCGCTTTGCAGAGCTTCAAACACTAGACCCTGGGCCGAGTATCTGGAGATGTTCTGAGTATTTTCAATATTCATGTGTATACCTCAGGCTATGTTGTTCAGTTTCCATCTCAACTTTGAGGAGAAAGTTGTGCTGCTACGTCGGACCTGTGCTGGGTTTGGGCGGCAGCAAAAATATCCGAGAACATGGTCTTGTGAGCAGGTTGCAACTTTGTATCAATATGGACTGGCCCATGCAACTCTTATACTCATCAAGGTACTTGCTGTTGATGGATGTTTATCTGCTTTGGTGCGATGGCCAACGGCAACAGACATGATTACTCTGATCAGCCAGTAAAGCAGCAGCAGCAGCGCATTGTCTGCGTGTTGGTCGATGAGTTTCCAAGGTATGTTTGGTATGGTGCCATAGATCCATGGATCATTTGGAACACACCTATTTCAGTGGGGCCGAGGAAGCGATACGGAACGAACAGCCGATGCCAATGTCGACTGGAAGAATTGGCTACGGGCTTTTTATTTTCTTCTGTTCTTTTTCTTTTTAGGGAACTCGGTCCCCCGTTCAAATATGGGGTAGCGGCTATCGCACGAGTAATGCAATCGACCGACGGTCCAAAGTCCGCCAGAGATGGCTTCGCTGCGCTGTCATTGAAGAAGAGAAATTACATACAGTATGTACAAGGAATTGCATTGTTGCATCCAGCTGCTGCTGTGTCTGTTTGTATAAAATTCCGGACAGCTCATGATGAGAGAGACTTGGGTAGCCTATCGCGTACCAAACAGAATACGTACGTTAGGGAAACATTGAGCGCGAATGAACGACGCTGCCGAAACGCGTCGCCGGTGTACAGAGACGCGGATCCAAAGGATTGAGAAAAGGAGCCACTGTAACAGCAACGTGACACTCAAGTGCTAGCAGCTCTGTGGACAGTACGCAGTACGTACATTGTATACTAGTACGGAGTACATACGTACAACTATTTGTAGGGTCGATGGAATTTCAATTTGGGAAAGGGGGTTGATGTCGTGGAGAATGGTGGAGGTTCAATCAAAGGAAATTCGAAATGTGCAGGCCATCGACGCTAACAGAAAGACCCAGGTTTGCCAGGTAGACCCCTGACTGTTCAACGGCAAGGGCGCTCGGAGCACCTGGAGGGCCTTGGGCTTACAACAGACGTATTCCGGGGGTCCATGGATCTGAGCGAAAACGCATGGCGTTCGGCCGGTTTCTGGCCTTGCAAAGGACAAGAAGAAGGAATGAATATTTACCCTCCGGTTTCCAATTGAATGACTTCAACGGCAATGAAAGATTGATTTGACTTGCCCTCGGTCGCCCCTCAGTATGGTGGCGGGCTGTTGTACCAATGACGACGGGGGCAGGTACGGCTACTAGGCAGGTAACGTCTACTTGTTACCCATCCTTCGATGCCCAACCTCGAACTCCGTGGCGGAGAATGAGCAAGCAATGATGACGTACGCGATCATTGTACGGACCGGACACACTTGGAAAAAAAAAACAGTCGCGAACAAGGCAGAATTCAGTGTTTGGTAGGTACTACATTGTAATGTAGAGAGCGAAAAGGGAACAGGGCATTGCCGACACCCTCTCAAGAGTTGAGGGCGAGGGAGAGGGAGACAGAGACTTGTTTGGGACTACGTACTATTCGCAACATGCTTCAAGAAACGTGACTTATGTCAATTGCGGCATTACTTGAGCACGGTACGTACCATGGCACTGTCGACAGAGCAGGGGTCCCACAAACGGCCCCATAAAGGTTGTTGACATGTCCGAGTACGTGCGCTGACAATGATATAAACTGTCTCCCGCTATGTATGCCGGTCAAATGTGTTCAGCAATTTGATATCTACTTGAACATGCTGCTTTTGTATGTGCTTGGACATGAGGAACGGGCCCCTTTTGAAACAAGAATCAAGAAATTCTTTCTGCTTTCGATGCTGACTCAAACCCACGAGGACCTTTCATCGTTGATGCTAAACATGTAGGAGACGTCGGCTGTGACCGGTTGCGGTGCTGCCCGCATCTGTTCAAATTCGCTAGGCGCCAGACTAGAGGTGAATGAATTGCAGAAATTGGGCTGCATCCATCTACACTAGGCTAGGTGAACTGCATCTACATCCAAGTCTGGCTGTATCCGCCGTACGTAGGTAGTTTGGGCGACCTAGCTTAATAATGATAATAATTCCTGCTGGGCGGGCGGCCTGCCTGTTGACGATGCCGAGAGAGGCAACCCGCTTCACTTGAGAAACCCACGAGTCTTGCTTGACCAACACCAGCGAGACGTCACGCTTCTCTGTTCAAAAGTTGGGGCATGCGCATCAATGAGTGTGGCATATGTCGGTATGTATGCATGTAAGTAGGTGGGTAACATGACTGGTCCTGAATATAAGATGTTGATGTACCATTTAATTGTCACCTTATAACGTCTAGGGCCCGCGGCGGCTCGATATGACCGAGGGCAGCAATTTCGCATTATTTTCCTGTCGCTTCCAGTTCGTTTCCAGAGCGCCCAAGGAGGGAGGGGAGGGGGAAAAAAAAGGCCCCTTATTACTACACAGTAGATCACAGATCCAAATCTTCCTAGTCACGGCGCCGTCCCGGACAAGAGTCCGAGTTTCCCATCACCAGAGCTCATCACTTTTAAAGTACCTTCTACTTCTGTGTGCTCATCCACAGAGGCAGCAGGCCCAGAAGCGTGATGAGCATCGAAGCGACGCTGAGAGTGAAGGAAATTGTCCATCACACCGTACATCCATGTCGGTTTCCCCCATCCAACAGGTCCCCTTGGTCAGGATGTACATAGTATTTTACAGGGTCTCTGCTAGCAACTACATAGTACCCTAACTTACCAGCACGCCAGCCAACAGCGGTAGTGGTAGGGTAGGGAGACTCGAGTCTTGAAGAACTGACCAGCACCACAGTCGACAGATCCCTTGGGCTAAGATGTGATCCCTACCATGTCCACCATATCCACATTGCCCACTCACATCAATCCATTGTTACAGGAAACCTCTCAAGGATGTTGCCGGTATGTGTTTTACATAGTGTGCAGAAACTCAATTGCACGCAGAGGAAACAGATAGCCTTGGTATACTAGGAGCAGCCGCAAGCTATATCGGTCAGCCACAGACCACGCTACAATATGAAATGCCTATAGTTTCTACTTGGGAAGAAGACTAGACACCTGTTAGTCACGGCATGTAATAAAATAGCAAAAGTCGGTCTTTGCAAACAAGTGCTCCAAGTAAAAGTAAAACAATGTATCTGCCATGTACGAATCAGACCTTACATGGCTGGACTTCTTGGACATGACAAGGTAGGCATCTACTAACAGTACACACATGACATACACTGGCCTGTGTGCCTGCAGCCGCCGAAGAAACTCAGACGACGACAACGGGTCGTCGACACAAGAGAAGGAGAAGAAGGAAAAAGAAGAGTCCCAAGCCAGAAATGATCCGAGTGAACCCACCATCCGCCCACGCGGGCCGCGGGCATTTCCTGTTCGCGACAAGCCAGACAACCCACACTTTACCAATTTGGTGGTGGATTGGCCCGTCCGATTTGATATTGTACCGAACGACAGGGCAAGCAGAAGCGGAGGAGCAGCAGCACTGAGGAGGACCACCAGCATTGCCAGGAGGAGAATGAGGAGGCCGGTACATACCTACATACACACAGTAGGGGAAGGAAGGAAGGGTATGGATTGATTTGTAGTTGATCTGCTGCTGCTGCTGCTACGATTACCTGCACGAAGCATGCACAGTAACCCAGATACCAGCGGCGTACTGTCTGTCTTGTCTCCTTTGTAATATCATTATAATCGCGTCCAACGGGGCCCCTCAATCGGATATTCCCTCTTGCGCCTTTTCCCAAATTCTCGGGCGTCTTTTTATTTTTTGAACCCTCTCCTTTCACGTTTCCCCCGTAGTTCCAAGGAACCGTCCCCTTTTCCTACCCCTCGACTCGACTTGTCAGCAAGCTTGGAAAAGTCCCCTCGACTCACGGTCCATCCACGATCCGTCAAACGTCTTAATACACTACGGAACCGATTAAAAAAAAAAGTTGTGCGCGCACGCCTACGCAGTGGTAGTGCCGTCCCTTCCTTTTCTTTTTCTTTCAACCCTTTTTCTGCGGCCTGGCTTCTACAGCGGTACCATCGACAAAAATACGTGACGTGGGATCATCTGAGACGATCTTGTACGAGAGGCGAAAATAGGACACTATCTGGTAAGTTTGTCGCCATGAGAGACTTTTTTTTTTATCCATTGGGCACCACCACGCGCGCGGGCGGGAGGGGGGAATTGGGGAGAATCTGGCCCCCGGCCAAGCAACCCAAACTTCAAAGTTCCGCCTGCGCACGCCTCTTTTTATTTTTCATGTCTCGAGAGAGACAAGCCGCTTGTAGGCATATGGGAGTGTCAAGTCAGACAGCGGAGCCTTCTTCCTACGCTTTTGAAAACAATCATCTGCAAAAGAAAAAGAGAGTGCACAAAAATACAAGACGGGATGGAAGGAGATGACCCGACCCCCCCGTCCTGCCTGGCTGGTTACGGATGTAAAGACATTGGCTCGCGCATTATGACACTTGCGCGTTTCCGGTCTTTTATTCCTCTTGTCTTGTCAGCCTGTCAGTCTACTCCGTGTGTTGTCTGAGCTCTGCAAAGAAAAAAAAAAAAAAAAGCCCCCCCAGCGTCTGTCTTGTTCAACGCTCTGCCGAGGCGCATTTCAACGTGTCCCGTTCACCGTTTACCTTGCCAACGTTTGCGCGCACCAAAAAACCGGGGATCTGCATGATTGGTTATTACCTACCTACCTCAGACCAACAAATCAGACCAGACCCAGACCAGACACTCTGACCTGACTTATTACCGGTTAGTCGATTGATTGACTGAGTGGTCGATCAGTTGATGACTTTTCTTCCATCGGGAAGAGAGGAATGCCCGAAAAACCGCCCATCACATCCCCATCCCCCAGTTTTAATCTTCAGCCCTTTTTTTGTTCGTCACCGACCACATTTTGACCAGCTAGTCGGGTCCCCTGCGCGTTCGTTGCTCGCTGCTGCAGAATTCCTCAACACGCCCAAAGCTAACTTTAATTTCCGTCCAAAGAAAGTCTTGTTATCGTATCGGAACACGACGTTGTAACGATTTTCAAAACGGCAAACGGGGGACACAGCGAAGGAAGGATAAGGGGGAAAAATTATTGTTTCCCCACGAACGGCTCATCGGCCCTCTCTTAATTGAATTCGCCCAATCCGACTTAGCAGCGACCAATCTCTGCTACCTCTACCCGTCCACCGACCTCCCCTTCTCGTTGCGATATTTCCTGCGGCAGGGCCAAACGGGAACATCATGTCGCAATACTATGGCGATTCGCAATGGCTCGGCGGTGCAGGCGCTGGAGCTGGTGCAGGTGCTGGTCAGCCCACTTGGGACCACCAGACGCCTCCCCCGGCGCGTTCTGGTGAGTGCGCCCCCTCCGTCTACACGGGATCCTTAGGGCCCGGAAGAACGAGATGGAAGAAGAATACTCAATTGACACGAAACTCTACAGGTGCCAGTTCGACCCATCCACGCGAGCGGGAAGAGTCTGCTGCTTTCTCCCAGCAAATTGAGGGTACGTGTCGCGCATCCCTGCTTGCTCCTATGTGCCACTTGGCGCAGAAAAGTGCAAACGCCCAAGGCATTGATCAGGGCCAAAGCAGTACAAAAGAGAAGCGAAACATTTGGCTAACATATACGGCAACTACAGAGGTCGACCGTGCCATAGACAATCTCGTGAAAAGCGGAAAGATGTTTGGTGGCAATGGCCCGCGCCGTGAGTTCGCCCCCACGATCCCGCTGCGACAACAGCAACAGCAACAATTCCAGCACCGACGAGCGACTCCTTCGATGGGCCGACGAGGAGGGCGCGGACGGCTGTATGGGTAGAAGTTGGGAAGAAGACAGGCTTGGCTAACCGGGAATGCAGACGGCCGAGGAGCCTCGGGTCAAGGCTCGCAGTTTGGTGACGCGCGGGATCGTGGCGGCTCCGGCGGCCACGGCCCTGGCCTGCAGAACTTCTACGCCTCCCAGCGACATCAGTCCTCGCGCGGTTCCAACGAGGCGGAACAGATGATGCAGGCAAAGCGGAGAATGGCAGCCCAGCGGGAGCGAGATCTGCGCAACTACCATCAGGAGCAGCAATACAATAGAAGTAGGCCGCCCTCCGTTGTATAGCACTTTTTTTCTTCTTGACCTACCAACCTACCTACCTACTTTTACCTATACCCTAAGAATCCCCGTTTTTAAAGACATACATTTGGGGCGGACAACTACCATGATTGTCAATGATATGGCCTCACATATGACGTTTGGCGTTGCTTTCGTTGAATCGCGTGCGCAGTGGAACTAAGACATTAGGGTGGGAGTCTGTCTGCCGCCAAATCGTCTCTTCATATTCCTGTTATACGTCTTGCTCGCTTTCGCTTTTCACAAGAGGCATTTGGCTGACCTATCTCCGTTTCTAGCTGTCCTTGCTGAGATGAGTTACCCCGGCAAGCCCGAACGTGCTCTGAGCCCTGGTAGCAACAACAGCAACAGCAACAACAACAGCAGCAATCTCCTTTCCGAGGACGACCGCCGCGACTTGATCACCAGACAACGTAATGCTCTCTACGGTGAGGGTCCCTACGAGAACGGAGGCTACGTCGACGAAACAGGCGCCCCCCGTCCCGGAGTTCCTGGGCTTTCTACTGGACCCTCGAGCCACCGTGGACCTTCTCCCCTGGCTTACGACTACAGCCGTGGTGGTCCCGACGCCCGTCGCGAGAGTGCTGGTTCTCGCAATGCTAGTCCTCAGTCGAACCCTTCTAACAACAAGGGTCCGTTCGACAGCGCTATCCACCACCAAGCAAACCGAACGAGCAACTCATCGCCCGGTGGCTCACCCCCTCGTCAGGGAGCACCCGGACAGCCTGGTGCAGTCGCGCCCATTGGCACTCGCCCTTCGGTCTCTGGACCCTCGAACCCTGCCTTCAACAAGCGATCCACGACGCCGCTGCCTTCTCCCCTTAGCCAAGGCTTCAACGCGTCGAGCAGCATTGAGACTGCTGGAATCACTTCTAGCGCCCCGTCGGGCCCCTCGAGTGCCGCTGCCGACAGCTACAATGGCTGGGGCAGCCGCTCGGGCGTCTGGGGCAAGCAGTCGTCCGGCTTGGGTGTGCAGGCTAGTGTTTGGGGATAGGATCCAGAACAACGAAGCAGCAACACCACGCCAAGGCCGGCATACGTTGAAGATGCACCCGACGACTCAGATGACGAAACGATTGGCGCAAAGTAAATATCAGAAAAATAATGGTGTTCAGGTCTGGTTGTTTTCTTAGGAGCCGCAGGTTGTGCGATTCAGCATCAGCATGAGGTGTTTCTTTTTTGCTTTGTTCTTTTGGCCACTCAGGACGCGGAAAGATGGATTAGTGGCAACGAAATCATGGGGTTGGAGTGCCATTTTCGTGCTTGTTCTTGGAGTTGCTGATTTTTACGGTCTTTGCTCTATTTTTTTCGTTCTGGTATCCGTTTCATGGCAACAATCGAGTCTCGACATGACTCGGCATATATACAACAGTGTTTTCCGGACAAAACGGGGAGTTTGCACAATAGGATCATAGGGAAAGGGGGGTTGCGTTGCGTTTGGTTTTGTACATGCTCGTTTTCGAGGCTTGAAACATTGTACGGAAACGGCAAGGGGTCACTCAGCATTCAGGAGGGAAAGTCGGTTATGTTGTCTTGTCGGTATTGTTATTTGTGTATTTGGGCACCCGGAATGGAGTCGCGCATTTACGTGCACAACACTTGCAGAAAGGGGAGTTTTTGTCATTGCACTTGCGTCAAGTTGTATTTGTGCCTTTCCCCCTTACTGGGTGCGGATGGCTTGTTCGGCGGTAATGGAAAAAAAAAAATTATGTGAGGAAAAGGGGACGTGAAGAGGATGCGGTGGTAATGAGGAAAACACTTGGAGGCTCTACGGAAATGCATGGAGTAATGCTTTGGTTTGAGCATTTCAATGGCCAGGGTATATAACTACTTTGCAAGCAACAGGAGTTTTTGGCATCCGGCATTGGGTGAACAACAAAATGGAAAAAAGACTTCACTCTGGCAAATACCTATTTCATCATGTTTTTAATTGTCTCTATTAAGTGTCTTTGATACTAATGATAGGAGACACGAGCGAGCTGTTTCAAAAAGGTAACTTTATTTTCTTTTACTTGACCGCACTGTTGATAGTTGACTGAACTAAATCTTCTGCCTGAATCTAGGTCTTTGCTTGCGTCTTTAGTTTTGCCTGCTGAGCGGTCATGGCAAACTCGAGTGTATTTCGCGTTTCCTCCTTGTCCTTTTTCAATGGGCTTACCATGACAAACATCATTGTCTTGCATCCGTTGCCGAGGCTGGACTGGAGGAGCTTTGTCAAAATGGACTCGCGGAAACTAACGTGCTTTACACGAGGGTTCGCCATGTCGCCCAGAACTTTTCGAAGCGCAGATAGTGACTTGTTGATCTGGATCCCCTCGGCCTGGCTGGCCTTGTCTGTCGTGCTAGGCTTTTCTGAGCCAGCCAGATCAATGAGGTTGAGCAGACCCTCGGTCACGGCCTCGGATCGACCGTCGACGCGCTCAGCGACGATGCGCAGGGTCAAGACGCAGTGACTCCGCGACGACTGCGCGTTGCCCACCGTGGTCCGCGTCCGGCGGTTGGCCGACGCGTGGAAGAGCAGGTCCTGGACCTTGTCCTCAAAGTTGCCGTCGTCTTGATCCGTCAATTCCACCTCGGTGCTTTCCGCCTCGTGGACGTCGGCGCCGTTGACCTTGGCGTACTTGACGGCCACCTCGGAAGGTGCGCCGCCTCGACCCTCTCGGAGCAGGTCGTAGACCTTTTCGGCATAGATCTCAATGTACTTGCCCGACACCGACAACCGCCAAATACCCTCGTTCTCCCGCATGAACTCTGAAATCATGTCGACCGAGCGGGGAATGATGCCAAAGTCCACATCCTCGTCGTCTTCGGGGGCGTTCTTCTCGTTCCAGGGGAAATTCATGGTGTGTGTCTTGCCACTCCCCGTCTGCCCGTACGCGAATATGCACACGTTCCGGCCATTGATGGCGGACATGACGAGCTGGCCGACCTCGTCAAAGATGTCCTCGTTTCGATCGCTCTCATCAAATACCCGCTCCATTTGGAAAGTCTCAATATCGGCAGCGGTTCGCGCCATGCGCTTGGGCATCTTGAGGACTTGCGGATGGTTGCTGCCAGCGCCCATGGCCGTCGCCATCTCTAGCAGTTCGTCTTCACGAGCGCCGAGTCGGGGGCGGACTCTGCACATGACGCGCAGATTGCCTCGGAAATCCTGGACTTGGTCGAATAGCTGCCGGACGTTGTCTTGAGCCCGGGTGTATTTTTCAGAGGCCGCTTGGAGCAGCTCTTCCAGCTCGGCCACCCTTTCCTTTGCCGCGGTCCCTTGACGCTCCTTGGCGCGCAATTGCGTCTCGAGGTCCGCAATACGCTTGTTGCGGTCGGCGATCCTCTGGGCCCCGGCGGCGGCTTCTTTTTCCCTTGCTTTTACCCTCGACTCCAGGTCGATAACTTTGAGATGATGCTGCGCAGCCTCCTCTCTGACGGCTGCGGCGTTTTCGCTCTCCTGGGCCCTGAGCTGGGACTCGAGGTCGACAATCTGCTGTCTCCGCTCAGACTCGATCGACTGGCTCTCGAGCTCGAGCTGCTCGAACTTCTGCATCGATCTCGTGAGCTCCGCCTCTGTCTCCTGTAGACGGTACTGCAAATCGTGGAGCTGATCCTCGCCCGTGTCCGTGTCCCGGCTGGCTTGCTTGGCCGTCGCCTCGACCGCGATCTGGAGCTCTTGCATCTGAAAGCGCGTCGTCTGCAGCGCGCTCTCGAGCCCTTCTTTTTGAATCTCGGCCTCCTCGAGCTGTTGGCGAAGCGTCGCAATCTCGTGAATTTGTTCCCCAGCCACAATGGCCCCGGATCCAGCCTGGGCACGCGCGCGACCCCTATCCCTCTCCTCGCCCTGGGACCCGTCTCCATTTGCGGCGTCTTGCTCCGCGACAAAGTCCCGAAACTGGCCCAGCCGCTCGCCCAACTCCTCGTGCATGTCGAGCTCGCGCGTCCGCTCGTCGAGCTGGTCCTGGAGCTCGAGGATGGCATCGGCGGCCTCGCCGCAGGCCTTTTCGGCCACGCGCACCCGAAACTGCAGGTGGCAGTACATGTCCTGAAAGGTCTCGAGGGTCGCGAGGTTGAGCCGGCCAAAGGACCAGCGCTGGTTGCGGAGCAGGGCCTTTTCAAAGTGGAACCAGTTTTGTTCGATTTCCGCTTCGTCTGAATGTGTCCATTTTCGGTGCGCGGCTTGGAGGAGGGTTTCCATCTTTCTTGAATGATCTGGTTCGATGAAATCGTGAATGAATAAATAGGGCAGGGGATCCTTTTTCCAGAGACTCTTCTTCTACTTTGTTATACGATCCTCAAGGTATGAACGTGTAGCGAGATAGCAACATGAGTGATTACAATCAATATCTTGCCAACAAGGAGTCGTAGACTCAAAGTCGGATTCTTTTTGACTGTTAAGATTTGATTGCAGTTAAATGCTTTTCAATTCATGCAAGATAGCGACAAGGACTGGAACGAACTCTTTCAGAAAATTCTGATAGCTAGGTCGTTGGTCTTTGTTTTGCCGAGCAGACATCGTAAAGGCACAAAGTTGACAGATGAATAACATTGTGTCGTGACGGACAAGCATGCACAAGTAGCATTGTTTGATGACTTTGCCAAAAACGTTTGGTGGGTGTGAAAGCATAAAATCCCAGAAGACAAAGCAGCAAGATCAACAAAGAAGATACTCTGAGAGCGACAGCGCGGTTCATGACGTATACAAGCGGGGACGGGTGGATAGAGGGGAAATAGACAATCACCTTATCACCATCTCAAGAGGTGAAGTTTCGTTATTGGCTCAAAATCAATTTGAGGTTTCAAGGTCCGATTATCAAAGTCTTCTTCCACAATGCGTGCCTAGTCTCGAAGTTGCGTAATTATCGTTGTTTGGTCTGACGGATGATTCACTGGCACAACAGTAACATCGATCCCGTGATTATACTACATAGGTAATGATACCGATACACGTTGTGTATATTCCTGCTATCTCAAAGTCGATTGTACTTGTGTCTGATTGCACATCATCATGATCTCAAACTTTGCCTTGTCTTCTTCACAAACTTCCTCACTATAGTTTCGTCGCTTAGAATAGTGCGCAACTTGAGCGGGGGAAGCGGGAGAGGAAGCCGTGTCTAATGCCAAATCGTTCGCACCATCGCCGTCAACTCTTTGGAAGAAAGACTGGAGCTGGGAATAGTCCTTCCATGTGCTATGCAATGATAAGAAGTCCCAAGCAAAGGAAGAACAAGAGCCCGACCGCACATATTATAAATGGCCACCGACCGTGACGAGCGAGAAAGATTATGGACAATGGACCAATGACAAGGGTAACATAAAAGATAGCTGCTACCAAACAGCGAAGAAGGAAAAGGCTTATGAGCATTATAGTAATGTTCATACAAGAAGCCAAAACAAAAAAGTTTCTCGTGTGGGTCTGTACGTCAAACCTCCAACTGTGCATCTGTGCCAGGAATCTCCACATGGTACGCATGACAGGTGTACGTATATCCAGTTAGCTTTCGAGACTGATCAGCATACAGGCCAAACTCAAAACGAAATTTGACCCATCGCTGAGAAATATGATAATAGAGTCCGAGGGCCTTGAAATAATAATAAGTTAGAAGAGAAAGGTTCCAGAACGAGAAGGTCCACAAAAAGCACATAGCCATGGCCAGCTCGTTAGAGGAATATCGAACAATAAGTTTTTCCAGGTAGCCAATTGGATTATTCGTGAAAGGTGGAAGATCTGTTTGGCTCGGATGCTGTCGTTCCCCAGTGGCCATCGACGCTGGAACATGGAGATAAAATTCAGACTGAACCCGGCGACACTCCGACTCTGTGCCGTACTGTAATTCCAGCGAGTGGGACGAAAGGACTTGATTCTCCCTCTCTCTGTGGGTTGTCAGTGACAAGTCTCCTGCTCCGCTCTCTGGTAGAGACATGAAGCTGAGCAGGGCAAGAATATAATTTTCAGACATTGATATCGAGTCGGTGAGATGATTGAACTGCCCACCGCTGTCTATGATTGGCGAGTCCTCTGAGCGACCTTGCTGCCGCCCATTATCGTTGAAGGCGTGGAGTTCCCGGTTCAGTTGTAATCGTTGAGCCAGTAAATGCATCAGCAGTCCATGATGGCGGGTAAACAGTTCGAAATCCTCAGGGTAACGAATCTCTCGCATAGGCACTCTATGAGAGACGCCCCTTTTTTCTGAGGAAGGAATGCCGCTTTTCATCAGTTCGATGCACGTGGCTGTGTTTTGAATCTCTTCCTGTTATCATTGTAAGTTGATTGACCACCGCCCACTCTTACCTCGAGTCTATCTTACCTCTGATTTGCAAAGCTCCCACAAAGCTATGCGATTGCTCGCAGCTGCCAACCTATTACCCTCGGCTGCTAACTGATTGGCTTCCTCGGCGCTCTTGTCGGCCCTGCTCTGGTAAACCCATGCGGATATTCCCAGTAGTAGTGTGATTGTGAGGCTCATCAGCGCAATCCCATTTGGAGACCACGAATCCCATATACCCGCTGATTTCTTGCGTTTGGTTTTGCGGGAAGATGATGAATTCCCAGTTTGACCCGTACTTTCACCTTCTTGGGCGCGATCGTCTTGGATTTGGGGCGAATTTGATCGAGGCCGATCCGTCGAGGGGGGATCAGGTCCGCAATTGTGCGATTCATCACTGGATTGGGCTTGAGTGGGCGACCCAGAACTTCCAGCTACATTCTCGGGGCCGTTGGCGGCCTCTGACACCTGTGGCGCTGATGCCGGCATAGATTGTGCTTTGATACCGATCAATTCATGCCTGGATGGTCTCCGTAATGCAATATCCATCGGAAAGGTTTGTAATCACCGAGTAACCAGCTTGAGAGCGAATGAAAACAACGCAAATGCTGAAAAGCAGAACCGTCATGGATGCGTTTGGATCTGTATTAATATGGGCAAGTAGGGAGCACTGTGACGTGGCGCAGCGTATGATGTTTGGCGTGCATGTGCTGGAGCTGAGCCTGCAACGATTGGGGCAAGTAAATACCTACGATTCAGCCCAGCATTTGGGGGAAAGTGAATGAAAAGAAATTTCCAGGCAGAAGAGCGCTGCAATTCATTCATTCAGTACCACCACCACATATGACTGCCGAGACTCGGTGGGTAGCATATGCATCTTCTTCTCCGTCGTGCACCCCGGCTATCTCGAGCACATCGGACAATATTCTCAGAGGTAAATCATGAAGCGGGGTATCGAAGTTTTCGAAGAAAGCAATTGAGCAGAATGACACTCCAGTCGGGCGCATCTGGTTTACGGTATCACCAATGCTGGTAGACGGACGAAAACGCCCCGCGTCAGCACGAGGCTCTGCTGGAGCACAGCCACAAAGAATTACTCGTTTCCAGGTCGATTGGCATACAACCATTAGCATCTATCAAGGTCTATCACAGGCACTGATTTGGCTCGGTCGAGAGAGTGACAGAGGTAAATATGCCTACTTGGGAAATGTCATTATAGGAACCCGATTATACTCAGTCACATCAACGGGCGCCGCAGCGCCCACTGCCGCTTTCGGAAAGCGCTTTCCGCTAAATGGGGAATGACCCACAACGAGTATAATATGTCAGGATTAATGTTTGGCAGCTTGAATGCTCTTTTGACAGAATGAAAGAGCTTCAATGAATGCACGAGCTCAATTCATAATCAGGACAATGAGCAGTCTCGCACAGAACCGCGCAGCATGGATTGACGCCCCAGGCAAGGCGATCCGCGTCGGCGCCCACGACCTGAGAAAGCTCCGACCCGGCGAGATTCTGGTTAGGAACCGGGCCGTCGCCGTCAACCCCTTTGACTGCCTCCAGCAATCCACGGGCGAATTCGTCGAGCAGTGGCCCTGCATCCTGGGCCACGACCTCGCCGGCGACGTCGTCTCGGTCGGCGAGGGCGTGGTCGCGTTTGCCCCCGGCCAGCGCGTTCTCGCGCAGGCGCTCCAGCAAGGGCCCGAGAATACGGCGTTTCAAGAGCACAGCATTATCGGCGAGGACGTGACTTGTCCCATACCCGATACCTTGACGTACGAGTCTGCATCTGTCGTGCCGCTGGCTCTTTCGACTGCGGCGGCGGGCTTGTACCAGAAGGGTTACCTCGAGTTGCCGCTGCCGAGCGCTTCGCCGCTGCCCGGATCGGGTGAGAAGAAGACGCTGCTTGTATGGGGAGGTAGCTCGAGTGTTGGCACCGCCGCCATTCAGCTGGCCGTTGCGTCGGGACTCGAAGTCGTAACGACTGCGTCGCCAAAGAACTTTGCGCTCTGCCGCAGATTGGGCGCAAAGGAAGTATTTGACTATCATTCGCCCACGGTGATAGAGGACCTGGTGGCTGCAGTCAAGAGGAACGGCCAAGTCGCGGGCGCCTTCACAGGTAAGGGGTTATCACTGTGCTTCCTTGGGGAACATGATCTGACAATCGGCAGCCGTCAGTCAACCCAGCGAGGTCATCATGACCGTTGCTCGGGTCCTGGAAAAGTTGGGTGGAGGTTTCATTGCTACTTCCAAACCACCTCCAGAGAAACTCCCAGCGGGCGTTGCTGCAAAGATGGGTAAATGCCCCTTTCCCAACGAATGGATGAACTGTATTCAGGCTAACAAACATCAGTGTTTGCAACAGATTATGCGATTGTTGAAGGCAAAAAGTTCTTTCGCGACTTTTTGCCGAGTGCTCTGGCCAATGGCAGTTATGTAGCGGCGCCCGAGCCACATGTTGTCGGCCATGGGCTGGAACACATACAAACTGGCCTAGAGGTACTATCAAAGGGCGTGTCTGCCCAAAAGATTGTAGTGACATTATAATTTTAGTGGGCAGAACGAAAATAGCCGGAAAGAGAAAAAAGTATTACTACCTAGGTATATATGTAAAGTTCCCTCCTGAGACCATGCCATGTGTATCAACCGTAATGACAGGGGTATATATCGTATAAAACAAATTGCACGGCTGCACTCTTCAAAACATGCTTATTGCACAACACGAACGGCTACACCTCAAAAGAAGCGGAATGGTGCGGCCAGACGCCTCGACGCACCCGAAGTAGCAGTGCTGCTTGTAGCCGAGCCGGACGAAGTGGTTGTGGCTTCGGCGGTAGATGTACTGGTGCTCAACACGGTCGAGGTCTCACCAGCACTCGCCGTGGCCGTACTGTTGCCACCGCCGGGGAACGTGCCGTTGGCGCCGGGCGGCGGGCCGCCTCCCAGGCTCAAGCCCGTGTCGACACCACCGCCCTCGTAGTAGTGCGCCGCGGGGGTAGCCTGGTCCGTGTGGTTGGCGCTCGAGTCGATGCCGACGGTGATCCAGGCAAGGATGCCGTCGGAAGGCTGGTTGCCGAGCAGGGCGTAGTCGACAAAAATGTCATAGTCGCTCGTGGCCTCGCCGGCGGCGATGCTGTCGTCGAGAATGTCGGTAAAGCTCTGGCTGTTGGTCGTGTACGGCGCGAGGGCCTCGACGCTGGTGACCAGGTCCGGGTCGAAAAAGAGCTGGCCAATGTGCGTGGCGACGCCGCCCTCGTACGTCTCGTTGGAGAGCACCTTTGCGTCCTTGGTGCCGAGAATGTGAATGTGCGTCACGCGGCCCGTGTAGTGGCCCGGGAACACGGTGTCGAACTCGGTGACGCCGTCGTCGTCGGTGATTTGGGCGCCGCGGGCAAAGGTGCTGTTGAGGCCGCCCTGGCCCTCGGACGAGACGCCCGAGTAGACGCCCGTGGCGTTGCAGTGCCAAATGTCGACGACGAGCTCCGGCACCGCCGAGCAGTCGGCCACGTCGACGAACTGGATGTCGAGGTGCAGAGGCACGCCCTCCTGGCCTTCAGTCACGTCGGAGCGGATGAGTTCGCCGGCCACAAAGTAGGGTCCAATGGTGGTCTCCTCGACAAGGGCGCAGGTGGCGTTGCCAGTGAAGAGAGTGTCCAGAGGCGTGTCCAGCGTGTAACCAGCGTCCACGCTGTGATCCACAGCCGCCCATTGTGCCAGGGCAGCATCGTCACGCTTGCCGAGGGTCACTGGCTTGTGCGAGATGTCCCGCTTCTGTCGAAGAGCCCGGGCGGCATCGGCACGTCGAGCCATGGCCCGCTCCTGTCGGGCTCGGAACGCCGAAGACGACGAGCAGCTGTTGAGGGCCCGGGTCATCTTTTGGTGGGCCTGTCCTCGGGCTGCTACCTCGCGCTTGATCTGCTCGGGCGTGTGCTCTTCACCCGGATGAGTAGATGCCACAGAGGCAAGGGCCAGTGCGGCCGAGATGGAGCGGAAGTTGACCATGATTGAGTTCAAGTGAATAAGGATTTCTGAACTAGATGAAGAAGGATTATATGAGACTTGGGGGATTTGAGACCAGTTCGATCAAGACGCCCTGCTATTATAAGATTCATAGAAATCCTTCCAAAGTGCAAGGAGATGCATACTTTATATACCACCCAATCGACCAACCAACCAACCTCGGAATCATACATTGCGAGCGAACCACCCTCTTGGCACATGACCTTCTGGCTATGACCAGCGTGGGTAAAGAGCTCAATGCGTCTCACATTTCCTCAAATAGACAATTCGACGCAGTTCTTTGTCCTCAAAACAGAGAGAGCAACCAACCGTCTAGGCCTTTTTGCTCATCGCTTTGACCCTTGGCATGTCGGGATTGCGTGCTGATGATATGCTGCCAAGGCCAAGAGCTAGGCCCAATCATGATGCCTTCAAGACACGATTACGCAGCCCCTAGAGGTAAAGCAAAGGGCGACAATGTCATTAGAAGACGGAACAACCGCCCAGTCGATCACTGTGTTACCCTTTGGTTGGAAGAAAGAAGAAATAGTCGGGATCGTAGACACGGGGTAATGCGGCCACTTGCCTCGCCATGCGTCTTGGCAGCAGAGAGACTTACGCGGCCCGGGCCAGGGTCCCTCTCCCCGAGGTATTACACATATTTGAGGCTCAAGGACAATGAGAGTTGGTGACCAGGGATTGCAATGTTTCAAGACAAACAAACGTGTTGGCCTGCAGCGTGCCATCCCGTAAAGAGATCTAATGCATACGACGCACAGCTTTTCTCTGGGGTATCTTTGACCTTTGGCCAAAGTGTAATTGGTCGGATCCAACTGCGGGATACGTGGACAGGGGACCAGGGGGGGTAGAACATCGAATCTAGTGTAAACTCTCCAACCTTTTTTTTATACTATGGTATGTTCCCTTCCCTTCTTCCCCATTTCTTTTCTTGAACCCTGCTGCCCACTTCCCGGTCCGCGTTCAATCATGACCTAAAACCCCCAAACACCCGATTTTACAGCAGGGGGGCCAAGAGACGACGTATTAGACCTCACACACAAGGGACAGTGTGGAAATGAATTTAAGCGCGAGGCCTAAACGTGATAAAGTTATATGGCTGGGGAACCTCGTCTTCTTGTGGATCAGCAACTGATCAGAGAGAAGGGGGAGGGAGGAAAAAAAAAAAAAACAGGGTCAAAGACACGACATGATAGCAGTTTTGCCACGGAGAATTGCCGAGATCGAGATGAGGCGTACAAAGTACCCATGTGCGGAAAAGACAGAAGTGGATAGATTCAAATCATGAGACAATCACGAGGGTAGGTATCTAACACTACACGGAAACAAGGGAAAGCAGAAATGTCCAGACTCCACGCAATTCTATAGAGTACGCCTAGAAAAACAAGTGAAACCACCCCCTCTCCCCATTCTATTCACGACTCTGGGCGGTCAGAACCCAAAGATGAAATCAGGTCGCCCCTCGAACCATTTGTCCCAGGTGACGCGCTCACCATAGTTGCACTTTGCGCTCGCGGCCCAGTAGCCGCGGAGCTCCTCGGCGGCAGAGATGGGACCGAGGGTGCCGCAGGCCGTGCCGACCGTCTCCAACCCGCGGGTCACCCAGTCCTGGGAGCTGTGATCGTCCACATTGAGCTGCATGCCGCACACAAACATGGGGAAGTACACCAGCTTGCCAAAGTCGTGCGCGCTGGTCGGGTCAGCAAAGATGGGTATGAGGCATTCTGCGAGGGCTCGTCGACTCTCCAGACAAACGGCTGCCAAGTCGTCGGGCTGGATACCACCGTCGGCTGCGTGCAAAAAGTCCTTGTCCTCTGCAATGTCCGTGATCAAGGTCTGTACGGCGTAGAGCAGAATTGCTGATCGGTAGGCAATGGCAACATTCAACCAGAGGTCCGTGATGGGCGTCCGCGGCTCGGGCGTATCCGGCGTTTCCCTCTTGGGATGGGGCGACGGCCCCGAGAGCCCAGGAGTCGTGTCCTGAGAACTCGATCTGGTAGTCGAAGGGGAAGCTGCCCCGACGCCGAGGGCTTCCTTGTCATCGAATTGGACACCGTCTCCGGACGTCTTCCAACCCTTGAAGTACTTCATTTTCAGGGCCCATTGCGGAGCAGAGAAGCCTTGCAACTTTTCCAAAACCATGCGTGTCCCTGCATGTCGTCGCGATGTAAGGTCGGTACGTCTGGTTATTGCGCGGAGATAATTAATGAGTATCAACGTCTGGAACAGTTCCTCGGGGCAAGGCATGCTGATGGCGAGGTTGCACTGAAAGATGCCCTCTTCCACTTTGTAATATTGCAACGCCATGGTCGTAGCCGCATACATGTGTTTATGCGTTGATGGCGCCGTCGTGGCTGCAATAACGTCGATGCTGAAAAACTCCTCGTTAGCAGATATAGCTGATTGACTTGGTGTAAGAATGGAAGGATGCATACGCAACAAAGAAAGCCAAAAGTGGCTTAAAGTAGGCATTTTTGCTGATTACTTCCTTCAGACCCCCTCGCATTTGAATAATGCGTCTTGCACCCTCGAGGTGAGCTCTCCAATCTCCATAAGCGGATTGTTGCATCTAAGTACATGTTAGTATGATTTGTAATGGTTAAGAAGCAAGACGGGCTGCATGCGCACAGTGGATAGAAGCAGGCAGATGACAGACATGAGAGTCGAGTCGCTCGTCTGAGTGTCCTTTTCGCTCAGCTTCTGGTTTATATCCTCCAATGCTCGGACTCGAAAAGTATAGAGATCGTGCTCACGCCGTATCAATGCAGAAGACCTTGCATATGACGTGTCAGCCTCTTGCACGGCTCGATGCACGCTCGCAGTGGTGACCAGGAGATTGATATAGATGCGCTTTGATGACGGATTAGTCAAGGGCAGAGCCGTGATACGGAGGCGCGGCCAGAGATTGGAGACTGGCATTCAGTGTTGACTTTTTGGGATTCTCGGGACTGCCACGAGCTTGACCTACAGGGATTGTCTCCAATTTCGTCAAGGGAACCTGATACGGGTTGAAATGCGAGGCAACAGATATAAGATCATTGCTGATTCGGTCATTGACTGTACTGCCTTGTCAATAAACCGTGCTCTCCGAATCTGCAATAACGAGAGACGGTTGCTGCTCAGCGGCCAACTACTCACAATAATGGACTCCATCAAAAATAATTTGAGCTTCATTGTAGAGCTGCGGCATTGGATCATACGCAATTCCGCCTTCCAACATGTCCGGAACGGACTGCGGGTGCAGTCGTGTCAAGACGCCGCGCCTGTCTCCTCCGTTGGCGCCGGGCGATGCGGCGTAGTCGTAGCCGGAGCAGTTGAAACCGACGGCCCGACAGGGCGAGCAGGCAGGTTGAGCGCCATCGCAGGAGATGCGACGATATCGACAGGTTCCGCAGCGAAGGGCCAACATCTAGTCCTCCTCCTCTGGCAGATGTTGGATGTTTTAGCCTTTTGGTGTTTGATGCTGAATTTGTGCCCGTGTATTCATTCTACAATCATGGTTTGCTCTGTCCTCCGTCTCTCCGTGCATTGTTCTCGCCATCGGGGAACGATGCAACAACGGGGACAGGGGGTTTTGTTGGGGCGAAAACCACGGACAGGAGCCGAATTGGGCTGTCGGTGACGGACGCCCAATTGCGCTGGTCAAGCGAGACAAAATGCCTGAGCCCTATTTGCCCTATCGGCGCCCCTCAGCAACGTAGCAGGCAGAGCCTCATCTGCATTAGAGACCAGATAGGTAGCAGCAGCAAGCTCTAGGCAGGGGTTGTCGTTTTTTTTCGGGGTTCTGGCGCCGCAGCGCAAAGTTGAGATTGGGCGAGATACGATCAACTTCCCGCGGCGAGCCAAAAGTCCCCCAGCTCTGTATGCCATCAACTATTTCTTTTTCACACCGATGGGCAACTTTGTCTTGCTGAAATACGGTTCATGGATCTTGTGTCCCTGAGTCACCGGCGAGAGGTTAGCATAATCACAGCTGCTGTACTCCCATAAGCACTCAATCTTGATGATACCATCATAGAGATGCATGGTCATGGTTGTATAGTCTGCCAAGGTACGTTTTGCGCGCGCGCATGTGTGTTCCTTCTCTTTCTCTTCCTCCCCGGCGCAGGAGATATACTTGACCATGCGGATTACCTGCCCAACTTACCACTGGCAGATAGATCAAAGTGCTTGCATACATTAGCTTGCATATATATATTCAAGGTTGGCCAGTGCCAATATGTGATTTTTGACCGTTACAAGTCGCCAGTGCTAGGGACGTCTAAAGGAGTCCATGGCGCAGAATAGTCTTGAGAAAACGATTGTGTTGTGTGGCTGAACACGAACAACGGAATACAACGATATTTGGTAAATGGCCTGTCTCTGGACACAACTCGGGATACCCTTGACTTCTTGATGTCTGCACACAAGCCATGGTCCCTTAAGCTAGGTAAGACGGGTCAATTTTGTCTAGACATGAACAAAAAAAAATCAAAAAAAAATCGAATGGGTCGATAGTGAAGTAGTACGTGAAGCCATCAGCTTCTACTCTGTGGCTTGGAATTCGTCGACGACGACAACGACGACGCAGTTGGAGCCCGCAATCTGACAAGCTGACGTTTACTGTGGATTGGCAGGGATCCGCGGATCTGGGGAACGCGGCCCAGCTGCGCGCATAGCCCGTATCATTGATGAAGATTGGGAGTGGTCGTGTGATGAAGAGTATTTTGCGTTATTATCACGAGAGCCATTAGACGCTGCCAGTCTCGAAAAATACCTTATGTTAGACCGTGGACCAAGACAATGCTGCCCCCATGATTGTACGTTTTATCAAGCATTTGATGGTTATGGTTTTGGGCGGCAGGGATGGTTTCAACGTTGTGCTGTGGGTTTAATTGATTGAGTCTGCCCACTGGCATGTTATCCACCTCGGCAACGCTCCACCACCCCTACCTATAAGGGTTCCGGGCTGGCTTCAGCTCCAGGCTGACCACATGGGAACTGGGAGTTGTCCTTGGTTGTACGATCAGGACCCCTGAAGTCTCGATCTGGAAGTTCGGCCACAGGGTGCCACAGCTTGCCTGTGCCGAGAATTTGAATGGATGATAGCGCAAAATGGTCGATGAGGTGACGGCTATCGAAATGTAGCCAAGAGAAGTCTAATCAAGACTAACTTTCACCTCTGTACACAAAATGATTTCATAGACTCGCTACTTGCAGCCGAGCGAGTGTCAAAGCAGTTAAAGTGTGCAAAGCCTAGCAGCAACTAGCGAATTTGGGGCAGCATTGGGCATTCGGGAGCAGCGGCAGCGGCAACGGCAGTGAGTGAAGTACCATGTAGGTAGGTAGGTAGAGGTAGGTATGTAGGCAATGGTCGGTGCTTGCGGAACCACAACTGCGAGTTCGTAAAGAAACGTGCGCAGGTGACTAAAATTGGCCTCTGCTCTGCCCTTTTTGGTGACGACGCGGGTTGCGGTGAAGGTGGTGTGGAAAGGCGCAAGAGGTCCAAGAAGGGAGAGGATCCGCCAGAATATTGTACTATTATCCTCTTTTCAATGGGAATAGGGACGACAGGCGAACATATTGGGGCAGGACTTGCTGTGTTGAAAACAAGACAGTTGTGAATGAACCCTGATTTTGCGATTTTGCAGCATAATAAACATGGAATACGGCAATCACAAGGAGAGCTAACGGAGAGAGAAAAAAGCTTTTGCTTAGTTTAATTGGTGTCGCGAAAGTTCATGGATAGACACGTTTTTTCTTTCATCTCCTTCTGCGTGTCTCTTTTTTTGCGCAGTGACGTAAAACCATCAGCACTCTGGCGAAGCGGTTGCACGCGCCATCGACCACCGATGGACAGCTACTAATCCAAAAGAGGCAACAAGCTGTCCACCGGCGCTCGTGCGTGTCGTCATTCGATCCACCCATCCGGGGCAACGCTCAGGATCCCTTACTGAGAGCCGAGTAAAAGACCCGGGAAATTTCCCAATAGTTTTCTTTTCGAGGGAACCAAAAGGAAAAAATAATAATAATAATAACAACAATACGGGGCCACCTCTCTCGCACCTACATGGAAGATGCGGTAGAAGCGAACTGACGATCGTACGGATCTGTTCTTTTACTTCAAATGCTCCATATTCCCCCTCCTCTCCCCCTTCCCGCGTTCGTGACGAAACTTCCCTTATATAACCTTCTATCAGGCTGATAGATAAGGTACCCTTAATTCTCTTCTACCGTTTTAATAATCCCTAATATAACCCCCCGTGGTATATATCAGACCATCTCACCTGGAAACACCCCAGTTTGAGAGCAACAACAAGCTTGCGAACGCCACAAGGCCAAAGCTTCAAGACACAAGGATCCTACAGGAAGGTATGCAACTTTGATCACAAACAGCTTGTGAATGTAGAGAAGACCCACATTCTTTGGAGAGAAAACATCAGATTCTTTTTTCAATCTACGGGTGGCTTCTCTTCGTCCCTACTTAGTCAACCTGTTATACTGACATTTTGCCTGCCTGCAGTCAAGTAGACATTCCGCCTGCGGCCTAGGCCGATAAACTTCTCTCTGTTCCCCGAGAGCACATTACAAACAGCCGACAAGATGGCCTTCTCACGTATGTTGCCATGGATCAATCTCTGGAATTTTATTTGAGGGGTTAAAATCACACAATTACTAACACACGACTTTTCCAACGAAACAGATGCCGGCCTCAGCATTGTATCGATGCTCTTCCTCGCCGGAAGCATCGTCATGATGTTCTTCGTCATCCTTGCCGGCGTCGCCAACACGACGCCGCTCAACCACACCTACTTTTTGAGCGCCGACACGTCGGGCATCACGGGCGCCCGCGACGTGACCCAGTGGACGTACTTTTACCACTGCGGCACCGGCAACCTCGACTGCAGCAAGGCCGCGCCCGCGCCCGCCTTTGGCTGGGCCTGGAGCGGTAACCCCTCGGGCGCCCCCGACGCCCTCGTCGGCTCCAGCGGCGGCGACACCACCAGCCGCTACTACTACTTGATGTGGCGCTTTGGCTGGGTCTTTTGGCTCATTTCCCTCTTCTTTGCCGTCGTCGCCTTCTTTAGCGGTTTCCTGGCGTGCTGCGGCCGTCTCGGGTCCGCCGTCGCCGGCTTCACCACGGCCATTGCCTTCGCCTTCTTCACCGTGGCCGTGTCCCTTATGACGGCCGAGTTTGTCAAGGCCCGCAACGCCTTTCGCGCCGACGGCCGCGACGCCAACATTGGCGTGTGGGCGTTCGGCTTTGCCTGGGGTGCCTGGGCCGCTCTCTTCATCTCCCTGGTGCTCTACTGCATCGGCACTCGCGCCGGCAAGGATCGCTACAGCGCCGGTGGCAGCCGCTGGGGCCGTCAAAAGAGTGTGCGCAGTCGCCGCAGCTACGACATGGGCAGCCGCCGTGTCAAGGACGATTACTCCTAAAGGAGAAAGCGCCCAAAACCAAAATTAATTCGGAGAAATTAAACCCCGACTTGTGCAGAAACAAAAAACAGAAACAGATGTCTAAATCTCATGTATGGGTGCAGTTTGTCTCAGCTTTTTGCAAGCAGAAGTAATCCGATGACGACCAGTAATTTGAGATGATTGTACAGTTGAGTGGAATTTGCATATTGGTGGCGTTCTGAGCGGAATTTTGCTCGCGATTTTTCAATGTTTCTTCTTCAACCTGCAAAGAGGGAGAGAGCAGAGGGGAAAATGACTGTTTTTTTGACACGGTGTAATGGCGTGTAATTGATACCAAAATGAGCCCTTCGTTAGAATAATAATTTCTCAGCAATTCTAGTATTTTACGTACCTGGGTACCTTGTCATCTGCAGTCTGTCTTTCCTTTCTCCAAGAAGGTCACGGGATCAGTATTATACAATATGCATTAATGTCACCTCTGTGTGCTGCATTCGAACAAGTACAAGCGCATCACTCAGTTTATTTTATGTGTATGTGGGACTGATGAAAAAAAAAAAAAAAGTTTTAGTGCGATATTGATTCAGACTTGTCTTCCCCTTCGATCTTCTTAACTAGGTAGGCAATCAGTCTGGAGAAGAAATATCCCATACAGGACCGCCGGCCCATCTCGTACAGGGCTAAACTCCCACTCAATGATTCCTCATCCAGTCGACGGGTTGTGCCTTGCTCGTATATGTGATGCCCAATGAATACATCCGCTGCCGCGACCTTCCGTTCAATTGTGTACGTGTTTCATTGAAACATTGGACCCCAGACGGGTAAGGAACTCTCGCCAAATAAAATCACAATACAAAGCAAGTAAAACCAAAACCAAAAAAAGTTGCGCCGTCCCAAATCGTTTACAAGGGACGCCGTCTATTTTATCCTCCATCGAATCGTTTACGTTCGTTTATACGTTCCGTGGTCTCGTTGTGAAACAGAGATTGCGTGAATCCGACCATTGAGGCCCATGTCCGTTCTGAGTGAGAAAAGTAACAAAGGGAAAGTGTACGCCGCTTATGCTACATCATGTACTAGAGAGAAAAATCGGTCTGTAAATATCACAGCGTATACGGAAGGCCTGCCGTCCGTAAATGGGCTATTTCCGCAGAGCAGCCCAGGTAGTTGTTTCGTGTGCTTGCCCTATTGCAATACAGGCTTGACTCGTAGGAGGATTTTCAGCGCAGTTCATTGATACTGCGTTCTTTGAGCGACTTAGGCAGCTGCTTCGGCTCGAATATCGGGACTGACGGCATCTAGAGGAGCCGCATGCAGCGCGGGCTTTTCAATGTCGTCGCCGTACTGGCCATTTTCCTTTCTTTCCAGGACACTTTTGACCCATTCCGCAACATCTGGATCTTCAGTGCCTGACTTGCGCATGTCCAGATTATCTGCTGCGTTGGAAATGGCCTCTGCGCTCGCATCATTCTCGGCAGCTTCCTCGTCCTCTTCGGTGATGGTCTCGGGTTTCGTCATATCCTTGAGCCACTCCGAGTTGAGGAGTGCTTGGTATGTTGGACGCAAGCTTGCTTTCTTGTTGAGGCAAGATTTTACGAATCGAACAGCAGTGGCAGAGTAGCCATCGGCGGGCATATCCGGAGGGTCTTCGTCCACAATAGCCTTGAAAGGAGAGAGTCAGTAACATGTTGTGAAGACGGAGAAGAGGGGCGGACACAATCCCAAGAAAACTTACCGATAATTGAGCAAAAATGGAAGACGTCTGGTTCGGCTTGTAAGGATATTGACCCATGGCGCACTCAATGAGGGTCAAGCCCAGACTCCAAATATCGCTCTGAACGCTGTACGTTCCATCTGATGCTCCGCCGGCCATGAGTGCTCCCCCGGATATTCGCTCCGGGGCCATGTAGCTTTGACAACCAATATTTGTTCGTGCCATGCTGGCCACCAGATTACCACTGACACCAAAGTCGCAGATCTTGACTTGGCCCCTGGAGTTGGCCAGGATATTTGTGGGCTTGACATCGCGGTGTATGATGTTGTGCTTGTCCTTGAGTTCCTTTAAACCCATGACGGTACAGTATGTGATCTTTCTCAGAACATTCTCAGGAATGCCACCGGCGTACAATTTGTCAATGGAGCCACCATCCATGTATTCGATGCACATGTATACAGCGCTCTCTTGGAAAAAGGCGCCGTAGAAATCTATAATGTATGGCGAGGCGCACTCGTGGAGAATGACAAGCTCTTTCAGAATGGTTGCCAGCTTTGCCTCGTCTAGTTCGAGTCGTATCTCTTTCATGGCCATAACCAGACCAGATGTGCCACCAGCCTTGCCATCGACGGGAGAGTCGGGAGTATCCGTTAAAGTCCCAGGAACAGAAAGTGGTTTGGCTCCAGACAATCCGGGGCCAAAGCGTGGCACACGTGGTTTACTGTGACGAACTTTGTAGACGGTACCATAGTTTCCTTTGCCCAACTCGTCGAGTTTCTCGACCTCGTCCAAGGATATCCTAAAGACGGAACCATCTGAAAAGTCAACACCCTTGTTCGTGATGATGGCTTTCCCCTTGAAGGTCAAGTAGCCATTTTCGGAATCAATGTATTCTTCAAACTGCTTCATCTGCGAGGGGGCGCCGTGGCTCTGCCCCCCCAGCTGCGGCGCTGCCGGGCCTGCCGATCCAGCACTTTGCGAGTCTTGCGCAGGCGGCGGCGGTGGCGTCATGTTGCTCAGCTTCAGCCCAAATTTCCTTTTGCCTGCAAGACCGCCGCTGGGACCAGCAACAGATGGGATCTGAGGCATAGACTGGGGAAAGGAGGGCGCTCCTGGTCTTGAGGGGCGCGGATCGAGGCCGGGCAGGCGAAGCGCCCCGACGGCAGGCCCAGCAATGGGCACGCCGCCAGTGACAGGCGACTGGGGCGATGCAGAGTTGGGCTGAGAGTTGAGAGGGGAGGAGCCTTGCCGCGAGAGGTGAAAGGCCCTCATCTTGGCGTTGATGCCCTCGGGCAAACGTCCGCTAGACATTCCCGTGGACACGGGCGGCCGCCGTGCGTTGGAAAGGACACCGAGAGGCGTGGAAGAGGCGGACATGGGGTGAAGAGGCTTGTCGGGCTCGGAGACAGAGCGCAAAGAGGGCATCCTCTTGGGAGGGTCGCTATACAGCTCTTGGAATTCGGGTTCTGGAGTGTCGGGGGTCTCTGGGGGAGACCCAGGAGTGGGAGGAGTATCGGCCATTCTTCAGGCAGCTCGAAGGACGGGGCTCGAGTGAGTAGCAGGTTTTTGTCTGATCTGGACGTTTGGGTGCACCGTAGATCCAACGACAAGGCTGGACTGGAACCGGACCAGAACAGACGGATCGGATAGCGTGTGCCGCGAAGCACTGTTGATCAGAACCCCTCTTGACAGGTGACAGCGAGGTGCATGTACGTGGTGGTGCTTTGGGTCAATGGGATGGGCACCGTCGAGGATCGATCAGATTCTGGATCGGATATCGAAGTTTAGCACTTGGGAGAAAAAGAAATGTGTAGTGCAGAATGGGGAGACGGGGCAATGCTCTCGGTTGCCATGGAATTTGAAGAATCCGGCAGACGATTGTGATAATGACCCGACTAGACGACAACGACGACAACAGTAGGTACGTAGCAGCAGTCTAGAGAAAGTAGGTAAAAGGTACGGAAGAGTATTAATCACATTAGCTAATCGAACAAGAAGGTTGCGGGTGCTGTGATGTCGACAGGTACTTTACATCCCACTTTGAATCCGCTGCCTTCAAGGGTACAATGCCTGGTGCGTATTTGTTGCTGTTGCCGTAGGGTATCCAATGTACCTCGACATTACCACCTACATTTTACCTTGGGTACCTACTTCGCTACACTAATCAATCACCCACTAAAACTGACTGGCTCCAAAATTGTATGACTTGACGGGATGGATTTGCAGAAGTTGCTGCAAGCCATCCCAGCGCCTTTTCATTCCCCCATTCAGGGACCCCTCCAGTTTTGCTTTCTGCTGGGCAAGTGCCCGGAATGATTTGCTGATGGAACCGACTGCCCTGCCCCTCACCTCAATTGCAACACTCGCAGGCCAAAGCTCAAAGGCCCGAACCCCAAATGAGGAGAGGTCCATCACTTTTCCCATGGGCGGGTTGCTCAGTGTCAGGGATCCCCCACCGCTCAGGAGCACCAGACGCACAGAGAGCAGAGCACAGGGCAGCCCACCCAGAAGAAAAGACGTCAGCGACAAGACAGCTCCTTGGTCTTGTTTGGCCGGCAAGAATTATTACAGTCGAGCCCCCCCGGCGACATTGCGCCGTCGAACTGCCCAACTGCCTTGGATCTACCCTAGGTAGGCACTAGACAATGCAGACGATATGTAATGCCACAGACTTTAGACACCATTACCTTGCGAGCAGTCGGATCCAAAGAAGAAAAAAAGGGACCCTAAAACAAGCCGCGAGACTTCATTATCAAGCCACAAATGACCATCCCTCCAACGACCTTTCCCCAAGAGAGAAAAAAAAGTGCGGGCTGGGGGTTGGCACTTCTGGCGACGTCATCGTTTCCACCCTCCGCCCGCACTTCAATGGAAACAAGAACCGCACCCGCAATGCTCGCTTGAACCTGTCCTGCTCTTCCTTGCCCACCAAGCAAGCTAGGTTTTTGCTTGCTTGCTTGCAAGTCATCCATCCAGCCAGGACTGAATCTTCCGCCCGTCGAGAGCCCGTCTGTGCCCACTGCTCATCAACCCGTTAGGTCCAATTCAGATTTCCTTGATCCTTCTAGTCCGCATTCGTGCAAACTCGCAACCGACGACCCTGATCGACCTCCATCTTCATCCCCAGTGGTAGCCAATCGCCATTCTGCTCCTGTCTTGATGAAACACATTTTTGCTCCGGATCGGCAGACGAATATGCAAAAGCTACCCACTACTGACGACTTTGTGCAGGAATCAAGATTGTCTTGTCGTAAATGATTGGATTTTTCTTCCATGCTTTTTTTCTTCACAGTACAATTTCCCTCAAATGGAAGATCTCTTCGTACGCGGGCCGAAAATGTCTTTTATTGTTACATGGTGTATAAAAGTACTTGAAATGATTGTGGACTCGGATAGCTTCCAAATTTAGGAATTTGCCATGCAACCGGGTGTTATTACCGGGTGGCTTGGCCGACTTCCTTGTCAAACTACAAAACATGGAACATAATAACATCGACGCCCGTATGGGGCATGAAACAATTTTGAAAAGCTACACATGGTCAATATCGTCATTCCAGTAACAAACACGAAGCGATTGGCCCCGTTGAAGATACTCAAGGCCTGTCTGTCAATCGCTGGATAACGCCACACTGATAAACACATTTGGCCCATCTCGAGGACGTCAACATGGCTGCATGCCTACATCACATTCGCGGAACAACACCGTAACAGTACAGTTATGATTGCAAAGGCCACGAGTCCCACCGACACTGATTCAAGTCATTGGCTCCGACCAGAAAGCACGTTTTTGCCGTCTTAACATTGCCCGGTAGCACTGCCCCCAACACACGCATCGCCAGTGCAATTCCATCCAATGGGATCTACAACGTTTCCACACAGATAAGAAAGAGGTGAAGTCTCTCCGTTGCTGGCCAGTGTGACATTCCTGATGGTAATATCATGGCACGGGGCGACCCCGCTGCACTGCAAGCTGGCCAGCTTCAATGAAGGTGCCGTGCCGTCAAAGTTGGCAAACTCGATATTCTCCAGCTCAAACTTGGATGACGTGCAGTTGCCAGCCGTGCCTGAGAAGGTGGTGCACTGAGAAATGCTAAAGGGCGCACCGCGAAACGACGTCCCGTACAGGTTGGTGAAGGACAGGTTAGTAGCATCTAAAGGGCAACAGCCGTCAAAAGTCAGCCCTATGCATTCAACAAGGTAACCTGCATGACCCCGGATGGATCACTCACAGCCCAGACCGCCTCCACCACCGTTTGGCGGGTACCCAACTTGTTCCCCAGTCCAAGTCTTGAAATATGCCTGCAGTATATCAGTTACCTTGTAACACCAGATAGAAGAGCCGGGAAACATACTGCATGGAGCGTGTTCTTAAAGGTGATATTGTCCGCCTTGATTCGCTCAATGGTTTCGAATTGGTCCTTGTATTGGCCAATGCTGCCGATCGCAATGCCCAGCCCGTTGATGAAGAGGCTATCCGTGACTGTAATATCGGTCGAGTTGGCTTTAAACGAGATGCTGTCATCCTTGCTGACAACGGTCCAGTTGCGGAATGTTAGATGAGATGAGAAGAATGTATCACCGCCATCAGTATTTGCTACTGGTGGGTTAGTTCAACCTCCTTTTCACCGTATAGCGGATACCATACCGCTGGACGAGCCATCAAGGGCAGTATTATTGACAAATATGTTGTCAAATAGCGAATAGTGGCTACGAATAATGGAAAAGGTCCTGGCAGAGTATAAGCAAGACTGGGATTTATATGTCAAACAGCGCCTCAAGCTAACAAAAACTTACCACATCTGGCTCCTCAACATTTGAAGACCCGTGACTCGCGAATTGTTCAAGCCATCAAGTGTCAAGGCATGAGGCCTGCCTTTCAAGTTCGAGATACCAGCAGCATAGTGATACCAAACGCCGCCATTGCCATCGAAAGTGCCATGTCCGTGACCATCAATCAAGACACGATCGCCGCCAAGCTTGAAAGCTGTACTCTGATTCTGGTAGCCTACTGGGAGGGAGTTGTTGAGCCAGTATTGAATGTCAGTCGACCACTGTTATATTTATTAGGACCTGGCCAATATTCATGCAAGCAAACTGTGGGGAGATGTTGTCGTTGTCCTCACTAGCAAAGTTCCTCGGATATCAACATGACAGTCCTGCAGTCCAGATACTTCCATGACGGAATTGACATAGTAAGTTGTGTTCTCCGTAAACAAGACGGTACCACCTTGGCCACACTCGTCAAAAGCCGCGAGGATGGCAGGGGCATCGTCTGTCGCATTGGTGCCCGAAGCAGCAACCTCGCAAACTTTTCTGTCACGAGAGATGTGAGCTGGGCCGTACTGCGCAGCGGCACCGTACAGCGCCGCAAGTCCGACCAAAAGGGAAGAAGCGTGCATTATTAAAATCAGATGAGAAGCTCGGTGATCTGTAGATCAAGGTTGACAAATCTAGTGATTTGTACGAGTAAACAAGGGGTAATCTTGGTGTGGATATATAGCCTCTCTCACACTCTCACACAAGTTGTTGCATTTAACCAAGGATACCTCATGATGTCTATTGAAACCTATAATATGCCACCAATGAAATGTTGCGGAACGGTCATGGCCACAGCTGAGGCAAAGCCTTGGCTACTATAGACCCAACGCTGGAAAAGGCACCGAGGAAGGGAAGAGGAGGGG